GCACCAGGAGTGTTTTAGCAGTAGTAGGCCTACATGTATTCTAAGTCTTTAAGTGATTGTAATTGTTGCTGGTGGGGGTGGCAGCTGCCTTATCCTGGTCGGTGGTCAATGTACAATTGGGCAGTACGTGGAGGCGTTTGGTGTGCATGCTCCTGTTTGGTTGGTTGGGAGTTACAAGTGCAGACCGTTCAATTGGGGCAACCTGTTGCGATGTGCGATGCGCAGGAAGCCCTGGAGCTTTGCCAGCAGCATGGTGTCAAGGGATGGCCGCTCGCAAAGGCCTACGAGGCTCTAGCGATGTTCGTGGAGGCTGGCGACGAGGTCTTGGAGACCCTTTGGGCGGAGCTGCCTGAAGCGAAGAGCTCTTTGGAAGAGCTTCTGCGTGGTCATCGCCAGAAGATGTCCGAGCATGGGAAGAACACCGTGGCCTACGCGAGGTGCAGGGAAGTTGCGGACCGCTTCATTGGTTGGGCCCAGTCCAAAGGTTATGACCAACCGGACGACGCCTTTCCGATGCTTTCGGAGTTGTCGCAGGCTCAGGTTCTCGATGAAGCCCTCGGGCTGAGCAGAATCGACACGGAGGAGCTGCGCGTGAAAGGCTGGGGGAAGATTCTTGAAGCCGCCATCGGCCATGCCTTTGCATTGGCCAAAAAGGAGAAAGATCCGAAGAGGAGGAGAGGCTTTGTGAAGCAATGGCACGGCTGCTGGCATTTCGATGCAGCATGGGATGTTCTCTTGAAAGAAGGCCTTTTGGATGAGCTGATCGTTCGCGCTGATGCTCTGAAGAAGGGAGACCTGGGAGAAAGCCCTGGACTGCTTGGGCCGGCATCTTTGTGCTCACTTTCGGGTGACCATCGAATGGCAGCAAGGTTCATGAAAGAACAGCTTACATGCATCGATGGCAAGAAGTTGGATGACAAAGTTCTGAATCTTTGGAAGGCTTGCTTGAAACAGGAGCAGTGGCTTCTCCAAATCCCACCGGAAGGCTGTTGGGGCTGGATTGCAGGCAGCTATTGGGAGAAATCCATGGGAGAGCGCTGTGCAGACACCAGGAATTATCCGTCCGGCTGCAGCCCGCTCATTGCTGCGAAAGCTTTCCAAAGGATGGATGCCCAGAAAAGGGAAATCGATATGGGCCTGCAGATTGCAAGCAGCCTCTTCAGAATGCTCAAAACGTTTAGGTCAGAATGGTACACCGAAGAAAAACCTCCAAAGGTTCGCTGGCATCTTCCACAGAATCGCAACCAGCTTGCAGGAATTCTTTGGATTGAGCACCAGATTCCAAGCTTGAGATGTCCATGGCTGTTCTTGCCGAAAGACTTGCGACTGGATTTCTTGGACGGGGACGGGGGCTGGCGGCTGGACCTGCGTTGTCCCGTTGAATGTGCACTGGTCCCAGCTTCCTTGGGGTGCCCGGCCAGTTCCAGCCGCCCTGGCTGGTGGCAGGTATTGGGACTGGAGGAGGTCCGAATTGAGGCGCTGCAGGACTTTCTGCATGGATCGCTGGCGCGCACCCTGTCCACGCACCTGGGATTGCTCTCCAGCCTCAGCACCGGCCACGAGAGGGCACAGGTGGTGAGCCTCTACCGAGAGCTCCTGGAGCTGCATCAGCCCCGGCTCAACCCAGAGTACCGCACGAAAGAAGTGGAGGATTCCATGTTTGCCCAGCTTCGACGGCTCTACGATGATGAGCTTCAGAACGATCTCCAGTGGAAATCCGCTTCCCGGCTGGCCCACAACTTCAAAAAGGAATTCAAGGCTCTGGCGCTGCAACTCGTGAAGGAGAGGCCTCGGCCAGGCGACACGGAGCGCTGGGCGCGCATCTTTCGCAGCCTGGTCGATATCGATTTGATCAGCTTGGGGGGGTGTCCGCTCTTGACTCGAGCAGTGTTTGCCAAGGCATGCTTGCGCTGAGCAATTGCAAGCCCAAGTGCAAGATTGAGGACTGGGACATCCCAGAGATCCGGCCCCAGTTGTGGCACCATTGCCCCAAGCTTTCGGAGTCTGATCGGAAATGTATCCTGCAGGCATCCCGGCAAGAGTTAAAGTGAAAACCGCGCTCAGACATTCCCTTCTGACGGTTGAAACGGGCAACCAAGGCCCTGGAAACGGCGCTTTGTTGCGACCGCCTCGTGGCATTTTGGCCTAACTGCAGTGTGAATGTGGCTGTGTGGCGCCGGCTGCGGCAAGCGTTGTCCCAGCACACACCTTAGGCACGCTGCCTGATGCGGCTGGGCTGGCTGCAGGAGCTTGTCCATTTCTGGCAGCAGCACGGGCGCTCTGACTTCGCAGCCGCTGTTCTCGCCATCAGGCAGGCAGTTGCCCCAGCTTCAAGGGTTACAGCTGGTTGCATCATGAAGCCAGAAGATCAGTTTTCCAGCGGAAGCATGTAGTTCCACAGCCATTTTGTCTCTTGCTCGCCCCTGCCAGTGGGCGGCCGGCCAGTGAGGTGGTGCAAGCGAGCCTTAGTTGAATTTGGCTGGCCTGCTTGTGCTTTCCTTGTTTCTACTAGCCGCTAGCCCTAGTGCTCAGCTGCTACATCCAGGCATCTTCAGACAAGCTGCAACCACTAGGGAAATACGCTTTGGGGAGAGCCACTCTTTGTACTGCTTGCGTTTTCTGGGACCTCTGGCCGTGCAGCATCGCCCGGCTTGCCAGGTTGAAGGATTGCCAGGCTGAAAGCCCACTGTCTCAGCACGACGACCTCAGCCAATGGATTTGGGAGAAACAGCTCCAGGCCGGGATCCGTCCAGAGACGGAGGACCCCATTTGGCAGCTAGCCTTTGCCTTGGACTGCGGGGATTCCGCAGTGCAACAGCTGGCTTGCCAGGCGGTTCCTTTGGAAGAAGCAGACAACCAAGGTCTCACGGATGCGGATCTGCGCTGGTTGCGAGGCTGTCAGCTCATGGCAGAGAGCCTGCCACGTCTGGAAACAGGTCTTGGGCCAGAAGTCCTCCAAGCAGGCTGCAGGAGAATCGCCAAAGCAGCACACATCCTGCAGAAGTCCAAGCCCCCCAAGAGTTGCCCACATGAAGAGCAAGGTGCAACTCTTGCTCCTTACCTCTGTCTCCTGCAGAAGTGCTACGCCACTTTCCATCCAGCTACCTTGGAGAGGAAGTATTTGGCGACATTCTTCGCTGACATCACCTTCACGCTTGACAAAGGGCTTCATGCTCAAGGCCAACGGTTCCAGGAGTGTCATGGCTTGTGGCATTTGGAACTTCCAGAGCTGCAGCGGGAAGTGACCGAGTCGCTCTCCTGGGTTTTTGCAGCCCTTCAGAAAGCGCTGCTGGAGATTGCTGGCCACAACCTGCAGCTCTGCTGCTGGTCGCACTGTAGGTCCAGCCGCTTCCCCTGGCAATCCGAAAATGTCCACAGCTTGAGGCAGAGTGCAGCCGCACAAATCTACTGCCAGCTCCGAAATGGCTGGGATGGAGCCAGATCATTCCGGGAGTGGCCCTTGCCTGAGCTTCGTTTGCTTCCGTGCCTTTCAGCTTGCCTGCGGCTGCGAGTGAGCTGGGCCTAGGTTCCGGGAGTCTGTGACCCAACTTCTGGAGGGCGACGTCACAAGCTTGAAGAGCGACTTCGAATGTCTTGCCCAGGCTGGCAGTGTAGAAAAAGTGCTCTGACTGCCAAAACGTCCAAGCTCCTGAGTGCCCACTCTTGGGAAGAAGGTCCCCAAGTGGCCTAGCCTTTGAGCATGTCTGCGCTTATTTTTCAAGAATGTGCTTGTCACCCGTGACAACCAATGGCTTCGCATGATGTCAGATTTGAGCAGCCAGCAAACCACGACTTGTTTTGTTCAGAGCATGTCAACATGTCCCGTCTGCAGGCTTCAAGATCTCGTGGAGGTCCTTTGCAGCGTGTAGCCAAGCAGATGTTAGCATCAGACGTTCCTAGTGCCATTCACCCTGCCAAACTTGAATAACCACCTGGGGGCCGCAGGTTTTAGTCCATGTTTCCATTTACCAGGGTTCCATTTTGGGTACATATTTTTGACCCACTGCCAATTCTTGGAGTGCGAGAGGTGTGGACGATTGTTGGTGAGAGTCAGGAACTACTGGATTCCACTGGCGATTATGTCCGGTTGATGCTCACGGCTGACCGGACTGCCAATCTCCTTTCGCAAGTGGAAAGGAGGACGGGTGATATCAGCAAAAGCGTTAGAGAATGCTGGACTGCCACGGGGCGGGACGAAGTCGCTATGGTTGACATACTGAGCAAGAATGCTCAGGGCAATGCGATTCGCTCGTTGGTTGTGTTCTTGCCAGACTACTTGGAGTTTCTGAACAAGCCAATCCTCGACGCCCTCCCTCTTCTTTTCCAGGATTGCGACTCAAGAGCGACGCTGCGACTTCAGGACCAGACTCGGGCGGAGTTGGCCGAGCAAGCTGGTGAAATGAACGCTCGCAGTTTGATCCAGCTTCACCTGCTGTCAGAGTTTGGAGACAAAGTCACCCGACGTTGGTTGCAGCGCAGCCTCCACAACCTCAACTCCATGAACCTCTTGGGGCCAGACAGCCGCGGGATGTCCTGGCGGGATGCACAGGAGGCCTTGGGATGCGGAGCCTTCACAGTTGCGGACCTCCTGCTGAGGGCGTCTTCTTTCAGAAGCCACTTGCAGCAGCTGGTGAAGGAGAACCTCAGCAGCCAGCCCGCCGTGGCCATCCCTTTGCTCGAGCTAACAGAGCCTAAGTCTGAGGACTTCCGGAAGCTGCTGAGGCAATTCTGCGATGCTGCCAGGGCATGCAGAGCTGAGTTCGAGGTGCTCTCCGGTGCTCTGGCCCATGCGAACCCCAAGCTGCTCCAAGATCTGCGGATTCCTTGGGAGGCGATGTGCCAGAATGAGCACAGCGGGCCGCTGTGCTTTCGAGCACTCATGGCAGCTGCGCTGGACTATGCAGCGATCCGAGCAAGGCTGGCGTGGCGAGTGGATTTCAAGGAGCTCGTTGGGGCAGGGCAGGAGGCTTCTACTGCCCAGCTTTTTTTGGCGAGTCAGCTGCTGCAAGATTTGCGATGCCTGGCTGCATGATGCCGCATTTTTGTGGGTTGCAGGTTGTTGTGTTGCGGTCCTTCTGCACCCTGATCCAGCCAGGATCCAGCAGCTTTGATCGGGATTGGACGGGCTTGGAAACCCACAAGGGTGCAGTGGACATGCACCACTTGCTGCGCTGCTTCGCGGAACTCCAGGCTGAGCTCCCACGATGGGAGCAACACGAGGCGATGCAAGGATTCATCAGTATGCTGCGGTCTTGCGACCTAAGGAAAGCTTGTCAAACGATCAAGGCATTTGCTGAGAGCAGTTTGCTGCTCCTTGCAGACGAGATGCTGAAGCAGCAGCAGAAGCAGCAGCAGCAGCAGCAGCAGCAGCAGCAGCAGGAGCAGGTTCGGAGAGGTTCTGTCGGGGCCATGCCAGACAAGTCACGCGGCGATGCTGAAGCCTTCAACCGAAGAGGGCTTCAGCTTGTTGTTGCGGTTTACTGTGTGGATTGCAACGGCGACCGCGACCGCGCTTGGAAACTTGTGGAGAAGGTGGTGGACTTTGTTCGAGGCCAGTGGGAGAAGAAGAAGCTTCAGATGAAAGAGAAGGAGCTGTGCAAGAGGGTAGATGCTACCCTCTGGGCTTGTAAGCGGCATGCTCGGCAGTTCCTTGACAACACAACCCTCGTAGCAGCCATGGGTCCGCAGAGACACCCGTGGTGGAGATTTTAATTTGTCCAAAGCGATGCTCTTCTTATTATGAGCAGCGGTCTATGCTCCGTCATCTGTTGCAGATAGGGATGGCCCACCCGATTCAAATCAGGAAATAGTAGAGAAAGACATGACCGTTGCTCATTTGTCCAAAGCAATCAGCGCTGTTTTTTTAGCAGCAGCCTGGCATCATTTGCGGCTGAAATGTGGCTGAAGAGGTTCCAGCGACCTTTCCTGTTTGATTCAACAAGCTTGATGAGTGTCTGCTTGCCATGGATTGCTGACCAAACGCTCGGTTTGTGTTCAAGTAAATGGCACTTTTCGTGGCACATTCACCTGGACAGATGATTCTCCACTTCCAAGGGGAGCAACCCGAAACAAGATTCAGCATGGCAAATGTTTCAGCGCAGCAACGCCCCACGGAACAGCAGCTGTGCCCAAATCACCCCGACACATTTGGCTGTGGGTCAAAACTAAACCACCAGGGGACCGCAGTTTTTAGTTCATAATTCCATTTACCAAGGTTGAATTTTGGGTACCCAGTTTTGACCCGCAGCCATTTAGCACTTGGACCGACTTGCCTTTGTCGCCTGCCGTCGCGATGCCACTCTTCAAGCTCTTCCGCTCCAAGCCGCTTGGCCAACGTGTAGGGGTGTGCTGAAGACGCTGGTAGCAGGCGGTGGTTGTTAGGAATGGTGACCAATGCAAAACATCGCGTTTCCTTCAGCCAGGGCCCAGTAATGTTGACCCAGGATTGATAAACCCGTCCCATTTTTAGGGGGGTGTTCCCTCCAAAAGTGATGAATCCCCACCAACAAAGGGACACCCCCCTATGAATCAACTAGGAATGTATGAATCCGGGGTTAACATGAGGCGACCTGAATCTGGATCCCGGACGGGTGGCTTTGGCACGCGAGGCCCGCGCCCGGGACGCCCGGGGCGTCCAGCTCAGCCGCGCCCGCGGCGCCCGCGGCGCCCGCAGCTCCCGCCGCGCCGGCGGCGCAAAGCTCCAGGCCGCGGCGCTCGGCGCAGGCGGGCATAGCTGCTTCTTCAGGCGTTGAGAGGCCGCGACTCCGCGCCGGATCTCCAAAGAAAAGTCAGTCCGCAGAACTGATAGGGTTGAGTCGAAGTGTCCCGCACAAAACCTCAGAACCAGTGAGGTTAACCCAACGAACTGAGACGTCGCATGTGTTGGTCCTTCTTTGTGGCAAGAAAGTTCTGCTTTGTGGGCAGTTGTAAACCCCTCCCCTTTGTGGAAGGGTTGCAAGTAAGAAGTTCTGCTTTGTGGGAAGTTGCGAAACCCCTCTGCTTTGTGAGAAGGCACGTGCCTTGGGGAGTGCATGAGTGGAAGGATGCGTTTGTATCGCGATTTTTGGCCAGGCGCGCGCGCAGCCACCGCCGCCGCCGCCTGCAGCAGCGCCGGCGGCCGCCGCGCCCGTGGAGCCGGTCGCAGCGGCGCCAAGCGCGCAGAACGTGCAGCAGCGCTTGGGTCAGGTGAGGGAGAACCTCATCCAACCCATCCGCGAGGTGCGAGCTCCCATATAGTTGGAATGTGTCACCTTGGGCTTTGAGTTATTAAGGCAGCGCTTCTTTCGGCAATGCCGCATTATTAATTATTTGAGCCCATAGTGACGTGTCACGTTGAGTTTTCGGCAGTGCTTCTGTTGGCAATATACCGCAAGACCTATTTTTGTTTTGCTAGGTCTTGGACAATCCGCCGTCGGAAGACATGGCCCCCATTCTGGACATGCTGCTGGCGGAAGCCAGCGCGGGCATGGAGGGGCTCCAGCAACAGGCGCGGCGGCGCTCGTTTTTTAGTTTTTTTGGCGCGTCGTCTGATTTGAGTCACGCCCTCAAATAGTAAGGGCCATAAATGGCTGCGGCTATCCGCCTTTTCCATTCTTTACGTGGTTCTGGGTTCAGCATTTTTGTAATTACCAGGTTTTGATGATGACTCATTTCACTTGTTGCAGGTGGAGGTGTGCATCATGGAGGAGCGCTTCGATCTGCTGGAGGACCGGAAGTCATCAGACCATGGGTGTGTCATTTTTGTTGGGCTGTCAGGCGAACCCTGCCAACCATGAATTTTTGGTGTCCAGTTGGTTTCCCTTTTAAAGAACCCTCACCAAAACTGGGGCAACCGCAAACAAAGAGACACCGCCCCAAATCTCGACACATGTGCTTTAGGGGGCCGCCACCTTTGAGCCAAGACACCTGATCAACGAAATGGTCACTCCCCTTGTTCCATGCCACCTCCAGCTGAGGGGATGGCAAGCCGCATGTACCCACCCAAGCCAGCCAGCCAGCCACTGCCGGCTGACGCCTGAGGAGATCTCCACCTTGGCCTCGGACTTCCAAGAGCTGCAGCAGCACTCGGACCGCTGGCGGGCGGGGGAGGTCCTGGTCTCGCCGGTGACGCCCCAGCAGCAGGAGGCGCATGGTGTGCTCTGCTGGGAGCTGCTGGGGGTCGGGCATCAGCGGTTTTCTTTTGACCTCTGACCTCTGTCCATGCAAAATTGATTGATAGGAATTGATAGAATTGAGATGTGTTTAAGGGAATCAGGCGCTTTGACAACCGCGAAGGGAAAATAAAAGGCAAAACCAGCTTTGACTTGACGGTCTTTCGTGGCAGGAAGCGCAAGAAGCATGGCTTCGAGAGGCGCACTTATTGGCGTTTTGACGTCGCTGTTGGAGAAAATTGTGGGACACATCGCTCCGTCGCTTCCTTGGCCGTAGGAGGAGCGGCTACGTCAAGAGGAAGCCCAAATCCGCGAGGAGGAGGCTGGTCATGGCAGTTGCTCCATCCTCGCAAGAGCATGTTCAAACCCACAACAGCCTCACACTCCAAACATCAAAAGCAACCAAACTCCCCAAACACACAAACTCAAAAGCAGCAAATACAAGCAAGCAAGCAATATTAAAAACGAACAAACAACACCTCCAACGCCTGTCAATATGCGCAGCCCACTCTCCAGTCTCCTCCGAGCCCCACGGGTCTCTCACACTCCGCGGCTGCGAGGCGCAGCTGGCGGCGCAGGCGCGGGAGGCTTCGGCCCGCGAGGCCGAGGAGCGCCAGGCGCAGCGCCACGCGGAGCGCCAGGCGGAGCGCGAGGCGCAGCGCCTGGCCGAGGCGGGGCTGAGTTTTTTTCTTTGGGAAGCCGAACAGGGGCGTCGTTTTTCGGGGGTTTCCCCAAACAAATGGGGGTTCTCAAGCTTTCCCGTTGCCAACCAGCCAGAAAAAGGGGGTTTCCCCCCCAAAACAGAGAAGGTGTTCCATTTGCTTGCATGCTCCAGGAGCAGCGCATGGAGGCCGAGAGGCGTGAGGAGGCCAGCTGCCAGCCAGCAATGCACTTCCGTACAGTTGCTCGGGTGCTGAAGTGAATAAGGAATACCCCCGTGCATGTCGTGCATTTGTGTATTTGCGCCTGTAGATACATATATATATATATGTATATATTTACAGTTACATATATACGCACAGGTGCATGCATCCTGTTCTGCCTTTGGTTTCATGCTGAATCATGTCCCGTCTCAGGAGCGCATTGCCACCATGCAGATGCAGGAGGAAGAGGAGGCCAGGCCAAGACGTCACTGGCAACTGGCCAAACAGCCAGTCTGTCGACACTGGCCCACTCAAATTCCCCAATTCAAAAAACCGACTGGAAGCAACCAGCACCCGAATGGTTTCTGAGAGCCGCCGTGCATGTGCGACAGAGGGCGGGTGACCACCCTAAGCATTCTCACGTGTACATGAACCACGGTGCCAGTTCCTTGTTTCTGCCTTTCTCATCGTTCTCAAGGAGTTTCTGGTCGAGCCTAAGAGGCACTGCACGGATTTCTGAGCAGTTGACATGCTGATTCTCGTGGAGCTTTCCTTGCCGAGTCGCTAGAACCACAATAACCACACCATGCACATCTCAGATGAACGCCTCAAGCACGCAAGCCTCAGGCGCGCATCCGGGAGCTTGAAGAGATCCGGAGACAGGTGGCCCAGCAAAGCAGGCGCGCGCCAGTTGCAGAGATCTCAGCAGAGCAAAAGGAGACCACCACAAAAGGGCTGGGGCCCGACTGGTTGTGAGGCACATCGGTGCGTTCTACGGTCAAAACTCCTTTGGCTGTTTCAGGACCCGCCCAACTAGAGAATTCGTGATTTGGATCGTAGTGGTCGCAATTTCCCCAACCCTGATTCGACGACAAAGTATCACTTCACTGTTGGACTTGGCTGTTTCGGGGTGGCCACGGCCTCGTTTTTCCCGCCAGGGGTGCCGTAGAGCCGCCGCAGGCGCGAAGCCGTGTTGATCGCTGCAAGGCCCCCTTTGTTTGACCAAACAAAGGGAGACCATAGACCCAAAAACGCCATGCCTTGCCAAACTATCCTTCCCCAGAATAGTCCCCCTTTTTGTTTTGTTGCTTTTTTGGGCCCCTTTGTTTTCCACTAATCAGGCAAAACGTCGAGATTTTGCTGGTCCTAATTCCGACCAAGTAGACGGATAGAATCATTTCAAACTCCTCGCTGGAGGTTCCCCTTGTTGGTCCAGATCAGTGGCCCAAAGTCCGCTCCACTTGCGCCGGAGCAAGTACAATGGACAGTTGGGGGAGGGACCGCCAGCGCCAAAGGTGTTCGGCAGGCTGAGATCCACATCTCCGCAAATGGTCCGCAAACGATTTGGCCTCCAATCGCTGACCCCAAACTGGTCACGTTGTTTGAATACTGAGTATCCAAAGTTGTATGCACGCCGGCACGCCGGGCACACAGACGAAGTGCCCTCGAAGCACGACGGCATTTGTGTCACCATGTGTATTGACCCACACGTACACAGGCACATACTCGCGAGACACACGAGCATACGCCTTCACATCAGACTTCAAATTCACTGGCAGGCAAGCACCACAGAACCTGCGCCAAAGTCTCTTCACCTATCTTCCTCCACATTTTTACCTTGAGGTGGAGCAGGTTTTCCATGGAGGGTGCCCTTTGCACACATCCCTCCGGTAGAAAATCCAGGCAGCAGCCTTGGAACGCCAGAACGCCAGGCTAAAGTTGAGGAGCTGGATCTGGAAGTTGTGGACATGGATGACTGCGAGGCTGGGGCATGACGCATTCTCCCCGTTTGCGTGGTGAAGACATGGTGGTTGTTGGGCAAACGGTTTTTACATTTTGTTTGTTTCTTGTGCTTTAGTGGTTGAAATCCGAAATCCCCACTGAACTGCTGAAATGTATTTTTGTTTGCTCCCCTTCCAACGTCAAGCAAGAAGACTTTCTCCGGGACTTTTGGGGTAAGTGCCTTGAATGCCAAGGCCCCACATTCCATGAATGTGAACTTGTACAGGAATCAGGTGAATGTGGCTCAAAGCTAGGGACCTTTCGGGTGGAACAAATTGGTTGACTTGAGACACCTTAAGGCGGCCTTGGAGTGTAGTTTGCTGGGCAATCGCCGCAAATGGTTGCGGATATCCGCTGTCTTACTTGAGTCATGGTGGGTGGCTCATTTTAATACTGGCTTTTGAGTACGACTTCATCTTACCAAGAGAATTCTGAGGTATTTCTTGAGGTGTGCCATGGTCAAAAGACACCTTTACTTAGGAGTAACTCACATTTGATCATCACTCACCTTACCAAGCAGGGCGTTCTTAGGTTTCTCTGCGAAGACCCATCTCGCGTGGGAGGTGTCTGAACCTGCAGCTGGCAGGACACGCATCAATGTGCAGAGTTCCTCCAGACGGGTGTGCATGTTTTTTTCAATACAGAACAACTGTTTTTGTTTCTCGATATTTATTTATTTGTCGTTGGTGTGTATTTTTTTTTTTTGGGGGGGGGGTTCCCAAAAGCAATGCAGAAACTCCAAGTGTTTTTCTGTCTCTGTTTTTTGCGGGGGTTTCTTGAGGTTTCTCACGGGGGAATACTAGGGGTATGTATGTGATGGGGTGACCATTCGCTGCCGTGAAGAGAATTGCAAAGGCGAGAACCGTAAGGGAATTCTAAAGGAATAACTCGGGAAACACCAAGGGGACAATAGCGGAGTACTCGGGGGAATGCAGGGGGGAATGCTAGGAGAATAGCAAGGGATACTGGGAGAATACTAGGGGGTTTCCAAGAAAATGCTGAAGGAGTATTGGGGCAATATTCGGGGAATACTAGGATACGAACACTGTATATGCGAGTAAAAGTACATCCATCCATGCCAAGGTGTAAGCAAGGCTGATTTCAAAGCACAGGTCCAATGGCGGGCCGCTCCAAAAAAAAGCAAACAGATGGATGTCCATGCAGATTTCTGTTGTTGATACCTGGGAGCAGTTTCGCCTAGGGCCTAAGTAGCAGCCCTTGCTCAAACACATGTGTTGCCCATTGACCTGCCATATTTGGTCCGCATTCAACATGGCTAGGGAAACCTACAGGAAAACCACGCAGGCGCAAGCACCTCTGAGCAAACACGTGGCACACAGCGCATAGAAGCCGCGCAATACTTTTTTGTTCGACCAGGACCGCCGGCCCCACCGTGGAGGTCGGGCGCCTGAAGTGACATCAGCGGCAAGGGCTTGCTAGCCAGCTGTTCTCGGTGCTTTCCCCCTTTTAGATGCTCATGCGGCTGTGGCTCAAAACTAAAAAGCTGGGGGGTACGCAGGTTTCAGCCTACCTTTCAATTTGCCAGGGTTCCATTTTGGGCCTAAAGCCCCCCCTTTTTGAGCCACAGAACCCCGCGGTCGCTTTGAATTCACGCTGCTCTCCGGGCCTTCCGGCAGCTGTATTTGCGCCAAGGTCCGCCTTGAGAGCGGCGAGAGCTCCAGCAGCGAGGAGTTCTTCACGGCGACCTGGCTGCAGTGGAGGCCTTGTCGATGTCTCTTTGGTTGGCTGGTTTACTTGCTGCGAGAAGCAGGGAATCAGGGAATGAACCCGGGGATGCCCTGAAAGGAAGCCATAGAAGATGGTTGAACAGGGGTGAAACTTGTCTTGCTGAAAGGCAGGGAATGAGAATAGGAATGATCCCTAATTATAAACCATCGGGAATCCCTGGGTTCATTCCCACATTCCCTGCTGAGCACCAGCAAGTTGTTCCGCGTTGTTGGTTCTGCCGCGCGCAATCTATGTTCAAACTGGCACGCAAGATGCGTGCAGTAATTCAAGTGATGTTGCCATTGCTCTCCTTTCCAAGGAGGAAGGGGCTGCAGGGCTTCGAGAAAGACCGGAAGAGGAGGACACGCAAAAGCCTGCGCGCCCAACAGAGAATGGAGCTGCAGGTAGCAAGCTGGCAAGAAGCAGACAGGAGGAAGAGCAACATGCCAGAAGGCGGCAGGCAGAGGAGGAGGAGCTAGCCGGAAGGCAAGAGGAACAGCAAGAAGCTAGAAAGCGGCAGGCTGAGGAGGAGGAACAGGCCAGAAGTCGTCAAGAGGAAGAGCAAGAAGCCAGAAGGCGGCAGGCAGAGGAGGAGGAACAGGCTAGAAAGCGACAAGAGGAAGAGCAAGAAGCCAGAAGGCGGCAGGCAGAGGAGGAGGAACAGGCTAGAAAGCGACAAGAGGAAGAGCAAGAAGCCAGAAGGCGGCAGGCAGAGGAGGAGGAACAGGCCAGAAGACTGCAGGCAGAAGAGGAAGAACAGGCAAGAAGACGTCAAGAGGAGGAGCAAGAAGCCAGAAGGCGGCAGGCTGAGGAGGAGGAACAGGCCAGAAGACGTCAAGAGGAAGAGCAAGAAGCCAGAAGGCGGCAGGCAGAGGAGGAGGAACAGGCTAGAAAGCGACAAGAGGAAGAGCAAGAAGCCAGAAGGCGGCAGGCAGAGGAGGAGGAACAGGCCAGAAGACGTGAAGAGGAAGAGCAAGAAGCCAGAAGGCGGCAGGCAGAGGAGGAGGAACAGGCCAGAAAGCGACAAGAGGAAGAACAAGAAGCCAGAAGGCGGCAGGCAGAGGAGGAGGAACAGGCCAGAAGACGACAAGAGGAAGAGCAAGAAGCCAGAAGGCGGCAGGCAGAGGAGGAGGATCAGGCCAGAAAGCGTGAGGAGGAAGAGCAAGAAGTGAGAAGGCGGCAGACAGAGCAGGAGGAACAGGCCACAAGACGGCAGGCAGAAGAGGAAGAACTGGCAAGAAGACGTCAAGAGCAGGAGCAAGAAGCCAGAAGGCAGCAGGCAGAGGAGGAGGAACAGGCCAGACAACGTCAAGAGGAAGAGCAAGCAGCCAGCAGCCAACACGTAGACTTTGAGGGACAGGCGCGCAGACGGCCTGAGGAAGAGCAAGAATCCCGAAGACGACAGGCAGAGGAGGAACAGGCAAGAAGACGTCAGGAGGAAGAGAAGGAGGAGGAACAGGCCAGAAAGCGTCAAGAGGAAGAGCAAGAAGTGAGAAGGCGGCAGGTTGAGGAGGAGGAGCAGGCGAGCAGACGCCCTGAGGAAGAGCAAGAAGCCAGAAGGCGGCAGGCAGAGGAGGAGGAACAGGCCAGAAGGCGTCAGGAGGAAGAGCAAAAAGCCAGAAGGCGGCAGGCAGAGGAGGAGGAACAGGCTAGAAAGCGTCAAGAGGAAGAGCAAGCAGTGAGAAGGCGGCAGGCTGAGGAGGAGGAACAGGCAAGAAGACGTCAAGAGGAAGAGCAAGAAGCCAGAAGGCGGCAGGCAGAGGAGGAGGAACAGGCAAGAAGACGTCAAGAGCAAGAGCAAGAAGCCAGAAGGCGGCAGGCAGAGGAGGAGGAACAGGCAAGAAGACGTCAAGAGCAATCGCAGGGAGTCAGAAGACGGCAGGCAGAGGAGGAGGAGCAGGCAAGAAGACGTCAAGAGGAAGAGCAAGAAGTGAGAAGGCGGCAGGTTGAGGAGTTCGAGCAAGTTAAGAGTATTTATACCGACCAAGTTTCCCATCCGGGAAGCTGGCACCAGCCCTGGCCTGCAGAGCCGCAGGTGAGGAGCTTTTCCAGAGACATGGTCGTCGTTGTTGGGAAACATTTTACATTTTTTATTATTGTGGTTTAGTGGGAAATCCAACCGCTTAACAGCTAAAATTTAAGTATTTGCTCCCCTTCCAACGTCAACCAAGGAGAAGACGTGCGATTGTCGGAGGATGACCTCTCCGAGATCCGCTTGCCCCAGGCTGTCGCCTTGCAGGGCCTTGCCGGGCGGCAGCCTTTGGCACGGCCGTATTCGCTGGGGAAGAACGGGGAGGAAGACGAGTCTGGCAGCAGATGCAGCAGCCTCGAGGCGCCGAAACATGGTGGTTGTTGGGAAGCATTTTACTTTTTTGCTCATTGTGCTTTAGTGGTGGGAATCCAAATCCACTTAACTGCTACAATCTAAAGTTGAAATAAGATAAGACGCTTAAAACCTTAACTCAACTGCTAACCTTAACCACTACTTAACGGCTAAAGTGTTCAAATTTCTGCTCCCCTTCCAGCGTCAACCAAGGAAAGGCGACGCCGCCGGGCGCGATGAAGAGCGGCAGGCCGAGGAAGCGGATGGGGAGGAGGAGCGCGAGGAAGAGCGCCGGAGCGGCGAGGAGGCCAGACGAATGGCTCTGCAGCAGGAAAGGGCCAAAGAAAGGAGCAGCGGGAAAGGGCAAAAAAAATATGGTACCCACCCCCACCACCAAAAAATAATAAAAACCACAACCTTCAGGCGGCAATTGTCCAGGTTCAAAACCTGGGGTTTGGAGGGGGGTGGCAAAAATATAGCCAGACGGTGAGGAAAACAGCCAGGTTGGGCGAATTTCTGCGAAACGGCGTTGAAACAACCAGGTTCCAGGGTTTGTCGGATCCCAGAATTAACAAGGGAGCAAGTTGATTCATGAAGCAAGATGACACGTTCTGGGCTCATTCTGTTGATTGTTTCTGGGGGTTGTCAACGTCAGACAATGGGGGTTGCCCTTCAACCCACCACTTACTGTAGGGGGGTGACTTTGGTAAAATAAGGCGGCCAGATGTTTCAAGTGAGCCAAGAAAATCAAGACTCGGGATGGTGGACGAAAGCAATTAGTTGCGGCCGCCCCCTCACCCGTTTTCGTCTTTTTTTTGGCGTGATTGAATCGGCTGTTCGCTGGGGGCGAACCGTTTTGGGTTTCGACTGGCGCGATCTTTGGCGCCGGCCCCCAGGAGTTCTTCAGAGGAGAGGGTCCGTAGTCGCAGGTCCTCGGACCGCTCCCGGCGCCACTCGGGCGAGAGGGCCTTCCTGCTGGAGAACGAGCGGAAGGAGTCGAAGGAGTCGAAGGAGTCCAAGGAGTCCAAGGAGTCCAAGGAGTCGAAGGAGTCGAAGGAGTCGAAGGAGTCGAAGTCCAAGGAGAAGGAGTCGAAGGACCCCCGATTGAACATGGAAGTGGCTTTGGGAGGGGGGGGTTGGTTTCGACCCCTGCAGAATTCTATTCAGGGTAACCAACTTTTATTTTTTCGGGGGGAGGAAGACTAGATATGGGTATGGGTCAAAAATGAAACCACCAGGATATGGACCACAGGCTTTTTGAGTCCATGCTTCCGTTTACCAGGGCAAACCCAGTTTGAGGTTACCCTATTTTTGACCACCACAGCCATATGGCCTGTGGGTCAAAACCGTTTTGGGTAGGTGCACCACCCATTCTAGTCTATTTTAGCGGGGATTGGGATGTTCATTGGGGGTACGGGCTTTTGACCCATGGCCATATGACTAGAATTGGGGACCCCATCTCCCCTCATGGGGGATGGAAGGAGTCGAAGATCAAGGATGCCTTGGAGCTGCAGCGGTGGGCCGAGGACTTGCGCAGGTGGGCGGCCACGGAGGACGCCAAGGAGCTGGAAGAAGAGCTCATCCCCGACTGGGAGATGGTGTCCAAAGCTCCGAAGCGGAAGGGCGGAGAAGACTTCGGAGACAGGCCCGCCGCTTTTTCGTGGGGCCATGCGCGTGGGTGTGCGTTTATGTTGTTCTTGTGTATAGACGCGTACGGCCGCGTATGTATATTGACTATGCTCAGTATCTCTATCCGTGCATTTGGGATGGATGCATTCGTGCGTGTGATATGTGCTTGGGACCTGTGCGGAAGCTGTGTGCGGAAGCTCCCGTGTGCAAGGAGTGCTTTCGCTTGGAAGCCGCTTGGCTGCAGCCAGGCGGCTCGGCTCCGCGACGCCGCCATTTGAGACGCGAGCCCCGAGGTTTGCGCAGGAGCCCTGGCAGGCCAGGGCCACGCGAAGCGCGGGAGCGGGGCGGGAGCTGGGCGCAAGAAGAATCTTGGTCAGGGGTCCCGAGATTTCCTCTTTTTTTTTCTTCTTTTTTTTTACATTACCTTTTGGGCCAAAGGTGAGCATCCCTTGGGGGTGATGTGGTAAGGGGAAACTTTTGAAAAGTTTGGTGGCTCCCAGCCATCCGGTTCCTTGCCTTTTTAGCGTTTTTAGTTGGTGTAGTGGTTGGGTGTCCAACTCAACCCGCTAAAGGTTGAGAACTTTTAGCAGGGGGTCTGCGGATAGCCCGCAAAATGCGCTGGGCAAAGGGGGGGATTTTTTGGTTGCCTACAGAAAAGGCCAACGTGACCAGCACCAATTGGAGAGCTTCCGCCCGCATTTCATTTCACCCAGAGAGCCAGCCAGGCCTTTTCTCAGCCGGAAGCCTGGAACCCGCGTCCTGAAGCTTGGCAGGTTTTTCCGAAGCACATTTTGGGTCGAAACATCGAGCCTCTTGAAGGTTGTCAGTTCTGACCACCCTCAAACCGTCTGCGTTTGTGCTTTGATGGTGGGCGTTTCCTGAAGCCCATGGATGCTGCAATTCTTTTGGCGGACCATGGTTGAGACAAGAATTGCGACAGGTCTTAAGGCCTAGTGATGTGTCATCAGTCTTTTCAAGGACGAATGGTCAGCCAGATTTGTTCACAGAGGATTCGCGACCATGACCATGAGCATCCCCGGACACAGCCTTGACCGTTGCAGTGAGCTTGTTTGATGCGCGGCTTTGCATTTCTGTGCGTTTTCGTGAGCTGAGCCTCGTAAGCCTTGTGTCAAGGACTCCGATGCGGAGGCGGCGCTGCGGCATCAGGCGGCCACAAGCTTCGTGGATGCCTTGAAGGCGTCCAAGGAAAGCAGAGATGCGCCGGTCTGGGAGTCGGCGCGTCCCGCTTGTGCCTCGTCGACTCGTCGATCTTTGGTGACTTCTGCTTTGCGCGTCCCATCATCGTCCCATCATCGTCCCATCATCGTCCCATCAGCTTCCTTCCAATTGGTGGTGCGCCCGGTGGTTTGGTGGTTCAGGAGGGGCTTCCCATTGCTACAAGAACCAGGAGTGGTAAGCAAATCCCCACCCACCAAACACCAATCACCCCACCAACCTCGACGGATGACAGCCCAGGCGTCTTCCAGCCACAGCTCGCCTCCCCGGCCCGGCCGGCGGCGGCGCCGGCGGCCGCACAGCCGGCGCCGGCGCTCTGCCAGCCGCACGCGGCGGCCGCCGGGCCGTCCGGACGCCTGGCGCGGCCGCTGACGGAAGCGGATCGCGCTGGGCTGGAGCCGCGCGGCACAAGTCCCACGAGTATCCGCGAGTCATATGAGTCTGGGGATGTATTCTTTGAGGGGACCCTGCCCCCCCAGAAAACAAATAAATAAATATATATATATATATATTATGTATTTAATACTAGTAATAGGCGGCTTTCCTTTTGGGTTTTCCTGAGAAGCACAAAGAGCGGTCCCGCCGAAAAAAGACAAGCCAACCATAATGAGTCATACGACTCGGCTGCAAGCCGCGGCTTCAGGCGGGCGACCCGCAAAGCTTTGGAAGATGCGCAGTTCTGGGACCTGCCGGTGGAGCAGGCGTTGCGGGAGTTGAGAACTCGCGCTCGCTCCTCGCAGGACCTTGCCGGAAGCAACCAGCGGCCCGAAGTCATCTGCGTCTGTTGTCTTGCATTCCTCATTTCTCTTCATATGGCCATGGGTGAACATCCCAATCCCCACTATAGACTAAAATGGGTGGTGAATTCACCTACAAAATGGGATCCCGAAACGGTTTTTGACAAAAGCCATATCTAAGAGTGATTGTTCATCAGCAGGTTGGGCACGCGGGCGTGCTGGCAGAATTCCTATTTGCACGTGCAAGCTGCCACGCCAAGCGCCAAGCGCCCGAGCCGCAGGACCGCGCCAACGTGGAGGAGGCCTTCAAGCAGCGGCAAGCGCAGCGGAAGAAGCAGAAAAGCGTCTTGTCACAGACCTGAAGAAAATTTGACTTACTGCCTTCCATTGGCTGAAATGATTTTTTCCTCTGGTTTTAAAGGGAATCGATTTCACGACTGGACATTTTTCTCTTTTTTCCCGGGGGTCTTAAGCAAATGGAAGCTGCCTGGAAGGTCCAAAGGCGGGCTTCTCATGAAGCCTTCCTGTGGCTGCCCTTGGCTGTGGTGGGAACGTGGTAAATGGAGCCAAAGACCAAAACCTGCGGTTTCCTGGTGGTATAATTTTGACCCATACCCGTGTGTCTTTCATCTCTGATCTTCTTTGCATTTGTTTTCGTCAGCGGGTGAACCTCCATTTTGCCAATAGCCAAACCTTCTGCCCTACCCTGCGAGCAATGTTAAGCCTGGAATAATCCACCCCGGTTCGTTTCTTGGGGGGTGTTTTTGGGTTTCGTGGGGAATTGCAACATTTTGGAGGGGAACACCCCCTATGGAGCGGCATAGGACAGGAGCCACTTGCTCAAAACCCGGGTGGATGAAGGTTAGTAAGGGACAATCCCAACCATAAATAGCTGCGGATATCTGCCTTCTTGATTCTTGAAGCATGGTTCTGGGGATGGACCATTTTAATACCGGGTTTTGATTATGACTCACGGGTTGATTTCTCCCGGGTTTCCCAGTACAAAGCTGAGGTCCACTTCGCGATCCGCGACCGGCCCGTCTGGCCCCTTCGCCAGCGCGTCCGGCGGCGCGACCGGCCCAGGCGTCCATCCAGATCCAGACAGAAGTGGGAGATCCGGAGGCCTTCTCCACTCAGTTCCTCAAGGCCCGGGACGCCGCGTTTGGGGAAGTTGGGCTATGTGGTTGCGTGACTGGGTGCGGGTTCCAGTCGCAACTTGAAGCCTTTGAAAAGGTCCTTGCCCAGTGATTGCCAATGGGAGTTTGGATGGTTGGTTCCAGGCGTAACTTAAGAACATTTCGCCCGAAGTCATGGGAAGGCCGTTGCCTGATGTCTGCTTAACTGCTATTGGGTTGGATCTTTAGGCTTTAACTTTTTGGGAAATCAAGCGGTTTTCCACTAACCCCCGCCCACAAAGTGAAACACTTTTTGCAGGGGGGTCGTTGCAGCAACCAAGTCTGGCGTCATGCCGCGCCCGAGGCCGCTGCCGAGGCTGCAGGGGTGGATGCCCACCGCATTCGCATCAAGGCCATCCGCCCCCAGCCGCAGCCGCAGCCGGCGAGGGCTGCCGGCGCTGCGGGCGCTGCGGGCGGGATGGCGGGATGGCGTGAGCCGGTGAGGCTTGCGATGCTGCGGCCAGGAGTGTGAGGTCGCCCAAAGTTAAATGGCGACTGTAACATTTGTGAACCCTTTGTGCATACCCAAGCCCGACTGGGCAGGACATTCCTGGCACAGGCTACTGCTGTTGGACAGGTTCGTGGCCAACATCTTTCATCACTCTTCCAGAGGATTCTCGGGACTCCGGGAACCTGTGCCAGGAATGTCAGTCTCACTTCATTGAGGGCCGAAGCGGCCCCGTTGCCAACGAGTGAGCCAAAGAAGTTGACGCACACGGCTTTGCCGCAGCTCAGCTCAGAGAGACAGTCAGAGCATGGCTTGCCATCAGTTTGCACCTTCCGCAGGCCATGTTTGTTGGAAATACGGAGTAGCGAAGGCATGCAAATAGGAGAGCCCGGTCCAGCCAACGGCAGATCAACTGCCAGTGGGATCACGTCACATTATGCTCACTGCTTGCAGACATCTCACATCTGAGCTTCCAGATGCAGCCACATTCGGGATGCTCCGGTTATAAGAAGTCAGAAGCCGAAGCTCCAAAAGCTGTGGTCACTATTTTGACTGCTTCTAGGGCGTATCAAAGTCATTGCAGTATTTTTGAACCTTGGGGTGTTTCGCTTTTTTGGCTGACTTGGACCAGGGGTACAAATCATGGGGCCAGACAAAACCTACGAGCGCCCGCTAAGCCCGGGAGCCCTCCGGACATCTGGCGCAGGGCCCGCCATGGAGCTCCAAGATGCCTTGCAGAAGCTGAGCCAACTGCAGGCGGAGAATGCGAAGTTGAAGCGGGCCACTTGGGCCCCGAAGTGGGTATGGGTCAAAAATAAGCCACCAGAATATGAACCGCAGATTCTCGTCACATGTTTCCATTTAACACAATTCCATTTTGGGTACCTATTTCTGACCCACAGCCAAGTTTCGAGTTTTTGGATCCCTTTTGGATCCCAGAAGATTGGTAGATAGAACTAGTTTCCATTGGTTGCATTTTTTTTGCCTGGATGTTGCCTTGCTGGCAAGACAGCTATGTCTTGCGAACAAATGGCGGTCAGCATGTCGAATTTTGCGCCTATGCGCAGGGGTACAAAACTCTTGGCACGATTAAACGTGCGTGTGTCCAGATCGATGTATGTGGAAAGTGGAGGAATGACGTTCTCGGGGGGGACTTGAAATTTCAGCCCCGTCCAACGGAGCCAACTTGGCCCATTCGCCTGAATAGCAGCAGACAATTTCCTTGGTTTGGGATTTTCGGAAGCCCGTGCCGAACAAGGTTGACAGATCTGGGTCAATGAAGTGGGGGTTGTGATGATGGCTGGGGGATTTTAGGATGGCTTTCTGAGATGTAGCTCTATGTTGTGGCAATGCTCTCCTGGATTCAACCACTCCTCCTGCTGCCTCGTGGCAATTGTTCCAGGTCTGCAGGGATTCCCACACGATGGTTGCGGGAGATGGAGCACTCACCCCACGCAAGCGAGCGCCGCGCTAAGGAACTGGAGGATGAACAGGACGCCCGGCGGAACTGCACCGGCAGAACTGGCGCGAAACGAGGGCTGAGGGACGCTGGGCGTAGAACCTGCGCCCGAGGACCGCGTTTCCTCCTTGCAGAAGCAGCTGGCTGGAAGGATGCAGGGCTCCGAGAGGACTGGTGGGGATATTTGGGTTGAGTGCAAGCGCCAGGCAGTATTGTTCGCACTGGCTTGGTGCGTTCCAGTTGAACCGAAGTTCATGCAGAGTGCAGCTTCTGTTCCAATTGTTGGTGCCCTTTGGCCTTAGCTCACGCAGCTTGCAAGCCGTGACTTCACGCTTCCCGCGCGGTTGATAGGACAGTGATGTCGCAGCGCATCTCCGGCATCGCTGCTTTGCAGGCGGAGAGGCCCGAGATCCATGTTGGTTGGAAGTCTGAAACCTGTGGATCAATTTCAGTCCTACCCTCCTACTCTTCAAGCCTTGTGCATGGGGCAGAAGCTTCTGCATTTGGGCCTCTAGGTCGATGTTTGACTCGGCCTTCTGTGCCCTGCGGGGCAGGAAAGACAAGCTGCGGGTGGTGATGTGGGTCTCTGGCAGCTTGCGAAAGGCGGGCACTCCTCTTTGCTTCTTACAGCGCCTTCGTTTGTGGACCGGTTCCTTTCATATGGCTGTGGTTGTCAAAACCGTTCAACGGGATCCCATGGGGTTTGGGTGAATTCACCACCCATTTTAGAAGCCTATTTTAGTGGTTGGATTGAATCGGATGTTCACGGCTACGATTTGGAGTTCGAGCCACGGCCATCGCCTCGCGCCAGGAAGCGGCAGTGGCCCATGCTCGCCTCTGCATGGGCGCGTGGTCGAGGTTTGCCCTGCTCTCGCAGAAGGCCGCGCGCGCCAGTGCTCGGCGAACTGCGCCCCCGGAAAGGGTTTTTTGTTTGTTTTGTTGTTTTCCCCCAGTTTTGCGGCAGGAAGAGCCATCCTTTTCGACACATGCGCGCACACAGACGGGGCCAGACAGAGGCAGATACAGACAGAGGCAGACAGACGCAGAGACAGAGCCAGAGACAGTAAGACACCCTTAAGATCCCACTTTTGCCATCAACAGTCGCTCCAAATTCCCACTTCTCTTCAGGTCCCAGCCCTGAAGCAAACGAAGGTGTTTGTGAATAGGTGTGCCAGGACCTTGTGAAGCTATCCGAACAAGGGACCCCTTTCTTGAGAAACACCCATATAACACGGTGCTTCTTGATCCATCTCGTCCACTCCGTTGGAAATTTATGGGAACCCAGAAGAGCCCCCTTTGAACAAACGGATGGCGAGGACATCTGCCTCCAATTCGTGCGCTTCTATCTCACATGCCGTGTTATTTCAAAATTTGGGAGGGAGATAGGTTTAGATATATAAACATATATGCACACATTCATAGCACACACACACACACGTGTATATATATATATATACACGTGTGTGTGTACACATGCAAAAACATGTATGTACAATCATGTTTATGCACATTTGTGGATACGTGAAGGTAACCACACGGTATCAAAATACACATGCTCAACTCTATGTCTTTGTGGCTGATGTTTACGTAGAATAGACACATGAGCTTCGTCGTAGCCGTGCGCTTGGGACATGCGGAAGCACCGGGGAGTTGCCAAAGCCGCGAAAAGGCGAAGCCGAAGCCCATCAAGAAGGTCGTGGAGTCTGGGGCCTTGGCTCGTTTGGTTGCACGGGACGGAAACACCTGGTTTGGCGGTCAAAAGAAAACAGGAGCCACGGCCCAAGTTTCAGGTGGATTCCTTTTTGCGATGAAACTTCTTGGGTAGGCCATGAAAATAATGAAAACAATTCCATCATGGGGCTTCTTTCCCATGCGCTGCCTTGAAGTCGAAGCGACGACTTTTTTTGAGGCTTGATGAGGACCCTGCGGCCTTGGCGGCCATCTGGCTGTGTGAAAGTTCTGGCGGTTTAAACGGGAGGGCCCACGATTCTGACAGCATGAAACTCCGCGTTTCTCGCATTGGTCCTTTTTCCTTCCATCCCTTTCCCTTTTTGCGGGGCTGACTTGGTGATACGATGAGTTTAAGAAAAGAGCGTCCGAACTAACACCCGCTTGTCTTGCAAGCGATGGATATCCAGGACACGAGGGAGAAGCACAGCAGCCAGGCCTGGCTGCGGCTTCAGAATGGCGGGTACTTTTTGCTGAACTAGGTTCCCCAGCTAGGTGCCCTTTTACCGTTTCTTTTTTGGGGAGGGTTCTGCTAAAATAGACTACGGGAAGAAGGGTACGCTTATTCTAAACTCTATACAGCAGGATCTAGTGAAAGTGCAGCTTTGGACTCCCATATTCATCAACCCCAGTTGGGGTGTCCGATTCTGGGTGCAACGTGGGGAATCAGACGACGTTTGGAGGGGCCAAAAAAAACACGACCCCAGATTCTCATAGGCAGGTTGGTGGATTTGTTTGTTGCAGCCCATTGCCTCACATGGTGCGAATCGGCGGACAAACGTCGCCTGCCAGGCGGATTCCAGGCGCTGACGCTCTGGGGGGATTTGGGGGGCAGGGTTGCTTCATCCCCACCGGTGACCTGGAAATCCATGTCTGGTTCCATGTTCCCTTTCATTCGGAAGACTAGATAAATGGAATTGGGGGCCCCCCACCCCCCTCCCCCTACAGCAGGGGAAATGTTGCTTCGCCCGTCGGAGATTTGGGGGTTGGTCAATCTTCCATGTAATGGGCCCCCGTGTTCGGTGAGTGTCCCTTGGAGTGGTGTTTTAAGGGGAGAAAAGGGAGCTCTGTTGGAGAAATGGGGGTTGATGAATATTCCCATTCCATTTAGGGCCCCCTTCTTTTTGACCATGGGTAACTTTTCCATGTGGGGAAAGTCGAAGCCTGTTTTTGTGGTTTCCCTGGTCATCCCATGTAAAGTAGATGGTTCGATCCAAGCTGCCGAAGTCGGTGACAAATCCATTTTACCTGAAGTGAGACTCGGATTCACCATCACCTAAAAATCCACAAGAGGGGCTGCTGCAGTTTGAGACATGCCCATGCGTTCTACGTGCGTTGGCACGACCGCCAAATTGACATCAATATGCATATAACTATACATTGATATGTTTTATATCTATGTACATATGGCCATTGATATGTTTGCCTGCTAATTTATATATTTCAATGTGTGTGTGTGCGCGTGTGTGTGTGTGTGTGTGTGGGCGCAAGCCTTCAAGTGAGTCGCATGGCCAGCTGGCCAATCCATGTGTGCAGGCCTCCGCCCGATAGTGGGAGCATGGCCCTGATGCACGAAGCGCATTTGGAGCGGCTTTGGCAGAATTGCACCGGCAGGTTTCCGGCCACTCGACAGGGGTCATTATTTTGACGGTTTCTGGGGTTATCAAGGTCAGAAAATGGTTTCGGTGATTTCCCTTTGACCCACCACTTAGGGGCAGCTCAATGCCTTCCATTCCCTCCAAAATAATGTTTTTCGTCGATGTCTCCATCCCCTGAGAAGCAGAGTGGAAGGATCCTCGAATGAGGATGGTAATTTGTTTGAGGAGCCTTTTGAAGAGCTCATAGTGGATCACGTCAGTGACCAAATCAGGACTGGTGATGATGCATCAATCAGGTAAGCTTTGGGCGTCCTGTGATTGTCCCTTTAAACCAACCTAGACCTAAACCGCCCAACACAACATCACCATGGCGGAAGGGCCTAGTGTCTCTGATCCCCATGTTCGAGTATTGATCATTTACCCTCCCTCCCGCTAACATGGCAACTGAGAGAGGGTCCCTTCAAAAGGAAATTAGTCTTCCAGGTACCTCTCCACAGGTGCCATGTTAGTTGGAGGAAAGGTATTCTTGGGAGAAAGGAACGGCAGGAGAATTGGCGGGGTTCCCAAGGATCACACATTCCCCACAGTTCCGTACGCTTGCAGGGGCCACTCCGACTCGATGAATCAAAACCTGACATTGATGTCAAAAGCGAAGTTCAAGGTACCACCGTGCGTTGCTTGAAGACTTGCCATCGATGCTTTGATAAATTATCACTTCGATCTGTCATCACCACAAGCATTTGGCTTGGACCCCCCTTCCCCCTCCCAGCACCTGCCTTAGAATTTGTTCGGCTTCCCACCTACGAGAATGAATCCCAGCGACTTCTCATTGCTTTCGGCTTGGACGGTTTGCCTCCCCCGCATCGCCGGCATGTTGGACTCGCAGCTTCGAACACGGACTCGTTGTGCCATCTTCCTTTGCTGATCGAAGGTCTGGAAAACTGAGTGCGCGGCCCAATGATGAGGACGCGGTTTATGAAGATCTATCCATCCTTCACGTAGGTTTTTGGTTCAGGTCCCTCGTGGTAAGCTGGTGGAACAATATCGTGACCCACAATTCTTAGTGTCGCTATGCTTTGTTACGCGCGTCGCAATTGTGAGCGTCGTATTCACTCGATGGGCGTCACGCTGCAGTTCAGGTGCCACGAAATGAAGCGTCAAATTCAGGTGCTTCCATGATTTGGACATCAGCTGCCTAAAGGCCCAATTTCAAACGGGAATTGGCAGTCAGCAACAGGCAAGGAAACATATCGCGGGCTAAATCAGCTCTTTCCCTATAGTAGGGCGTATAGGTTACAACCTATTATGGACAACCTGATTGCTCAAGTTTTCCCAAGAAGAAACAAGTACTTGGAGCGGGGGGCATGTAGAGGAGTCTCACCTGCACTTTCCACTTGTTGGGTTTGGACCATTCCAGTGGCAAACAAAGAGTTTGGGAGCTTTTTGCGGGGCTATTCAACTCGATCGGAAGTGAGAAGTGCCATGAAACATCTGGTTGTTAAATTTCCCTCCTCACCAAACAACATCTAATTCAAGAACAACACACAAACAAACAAACAAACCAAACAAACAAACCAAACACAAACAAACAAACAAACAAACAAACAAACAAACAAACGAACAAACAAACAAACAAACAAACAAACAACCAAGCAAACAAACAACCAAGCAAGCAAGCAAGCAAGCAAACAAGCAAGCAAGCAAGCAAGCAAACAATCAATCAATCAATCAATCAATCAATCAAAGAAACAAACAAACGACCAATCAACATAAGCTAAAGTCAAAAAGTATTTGGAGGGGGCATTCAGAGATGTCGGCCCAAGGCGCTGCCGTTGCCTCGCCTCTTGGGCGGCTTTGCGGCAGAGCGCCTCGCTGAGCGCCGCCTGGGCGCTGCGCTGCATGGGCGCCTGGCGGCTCGGCTGGCGCCCGACAACCCAACCCAAGAGCCAAACTCTGACAAACAGCCCAACAGCCCACATCAAAGCCATAAAACAATGGGCTGCAACAAACAAATCCAGCAACCTGTTTATGAGAATCTCTGTGTGTGTGTGTTTTCCTTTTTTTTGGGCCCTCCAAGAGTGGACATTGCGCCCAGACTCGGACACCCCAACTGGGGTTGATGAATATGGCTTTGGGTCAAAACCCAAGAACCCCCTGGTGAACATTAAAATAGGTGGCAAATGGATGTTCGCCCCCAAAGTGGAAACATAGGTTCTGCCCCATGGCCATATCAGGGGGGGGAGGGGCAGGGGTGCAGGGGTGCTATGAATTCGGGGGGATGTTTGGCTGGATGCCTGGGTGGATATATGAGTTTGGGGGTGGTTTGCTATGATTGGGGCTGGGTTCCTTTTTTTTGGTCACCCTCCAAATTGGGTTTGTTCACCCATATCAGGGGGGGAGGGGGTGCTGTGACAACAGGGGTGCTATGAATTCGGGGGGTGATGGTTTTCCTCCAGACTTGGTTGGTGAACCCTTGCAGTTTGGGGCTTGGGGTTTGCTGTCGGGATCTCTCGGCTTTGAAGCCGTGGTGGGGTGGTGGGTCTCTGAGTTTGGGGGTGGTTTCCTACTCGGGGGGGGGGGGGTGGGACTTAGGGGGGGATGACAAAAGGGGAGGGGAATTCAGGGGGTGAACATGGGAGCTTTCCCACATCGCTCGAAGTTTTTTTCTTCAGCTTTCCCGTGCAATTACGGGGCGAGCGGCTGGAGGGGCGGGGGGTTAGGGCCTCCAGCCAGCAACTAAAAACGCGTCAGACAGCCGCCCCCAGGCGCCAGGCCGCCTATGCGCGGGCGCGGGGGCGCATGGCCGACTGGACGGGCCGGCAGCTGTGGCAAGCGCAGCGGCTGCAGCTGGGGGTGCGCTGCTGCGCGGCGTGGCGCTTCGGGCTGCAAAGGTGGTGGGCTTCCGTTTGGCGAGGTCTGGGCGGCACTCGTTGGCCCTGGTTGTCAAAACCGTTTTGGGATCCCATTTTTTGGTTGGCCACCCATTTTAGTCTATAGTGTTCACTGGGGGTACGGGATGTTGACCCATGGTTATATGGGTATGGCTCAAAATGGCTGTGGCTCAAACACCATGAAAATTACCAAAACGGCGCCTTGGTAAATGAAAGCAAACACTAAAACCTGCGGTCTGCCCTAGCTCTTTTCATATTTTGAGCCACGCCCACATGAAACCACCAGGATATGGGGGCGCAGGTTTTAGTCCTTGGTTCCATTAGCCAGGGCAAGTCATTTTGGGTACCAGCCATATGTGGGGCCTGTTCTGTGGCACAGTCCTGGACCAAATTGTCGGAAATGGAAATGTTGCCTCCCCTCTTCAAGAAGCTGGCGATGGATAGAGCAATCCGTTTGTCCTTCTGCCCAACCCAGCTCGTTTGAGTACTTGCCGGAGCAACTTGCCTTTTGCTTGCCTCCCCAAACCCCCAAGGCCCCCCCCAAAGGCCCTTCCAAGGTACACTTAGAATCGAAGGAACTGGGAACTGGGGCCCAAGATTTCTTGGGGTCGAAGTTGAAAGGAAAGTATAGGGAGCTCTACAACTAGACATGGGGGTCGATGAATATTCCATCTAGGGCCCCCAGTTTTGACCATGAGTAACTTAGGTGTGGAATGGTACGGCCACTGAGGCGCGGACTCACGCACGCGCGAGCACGGGAGCGCCTGGCAGAATGGGCCGCAGCGCAGCTGGAGCGACAAGCGGCTCACGGCCTTTTGGTCTTCTGCTTCTTTAGCCCCTCGGATGGCGCATCCGTCATCGTCCAAGACTTTTTCGAAAGCAACCCGGAAAATTGCACCCTCGAAGAAAATCGCCTTGCGCATCGAAGACGTTTCCGATTACACAAAACTACACCCTGAAATTACGCACGCTGGGGACGCCCTGTTTTGGCTTATTTCCAGATGCGTCCCCATTTTAGCGGTTGGCCCAGCGGCCTACGGGAGCTCGGACCGCGCTGGGACCCCACGAGCCAGACCGTCAGGCTACCGCCGCTTCGTGAAGGGCGCCCGCCGGCCTGGCACGGCGGTGCACGAGGAAGCTTCGGAAGTGGAAAACCATTGGGGCCAGGTCAATCCTCACATAGCTCATCTGGTTGTTGCTACGTTCCTCCCCACATTTTACAGCGTGACAGATGGTTCACGCATACACACACACACACACACACACACACACACACACACACACACACACACACACACACACACACACACACACACACACACACACACACACACACACACACACACACACACACACACACACACACACACACACACACACACACACACACACACACACACACACACACACACACACACACACACACACACACACACACACACACACACACACACACACACACACACACACACACACACACACACACACACACACACACACACACACACACACACACACACACACACACACACACCACCTTATACCACCCCCCATATATATGGTACGACGTGTGCCCATACGTAGTATATATCTTAATATGTATGCTTATGTACATATAACTGTACCACTTGCTTATATGCATATATATATATTATATACCATATTATATATATCTTATCCCCTCTTATTTATTTATGTGATGTCTTGTGATGATGTGATCGTGATGATAACTGCATGATACGTGATTGATGCGATGTGACGATAAAATGATGATGACGATGATCGATCCGATGATTAAGATAAAGCCCATGATCCATCATCGCCCATGATGCATCCAGATGCATGCGATTCCGCATGCGATGCCCGCCCGCCCCCATGCCATCGTGCCCATATCGATAAGCCCCATGCATCGATCGTCCGCCGTCCGCCCGCCGCCCACGCCCACGTCTTCGATAGAATGATCCATATTATTGAGTGGTGATTGGTTGTTGCCGCTTCGTTGTGCTGCATGCTTCATGTTGATCATCTGCTTTGCTCCATAAATTTCATTGCTCGCTGTTGCGATCCTCGTCTGATTATCATTATCATTATTTATTGTTATTTATTTGCGATAAATTATTAATATTATTTATACTTATTATTATATCATTTATTTATTTACATATTATTATTATTATTATTATGCGTTATATTTACTTATCATATTATTTCATTTCAATATTATCTTTATCATATTATTTATTTATTTATTATGTATTTATTTACATACCTATATGCTATTTATTATGTATTATTTATTTTTATGTATTATTTATATTATTTATCGCTTATTTATTTATGCATATTTATATTTATGTATTATATGTATACTTATATATATGTATATTTACTTCTTACTTATGTATTATATTTATATATACCTATTTATTTATTTATCCTTATATTTATTATTTCTGTTATCTTTATGCTTAACTTGTTATTTAGCTACTTAATAGCTGATGCAACGTCCAAATACCAATAAAATAGGTTCGCGCGTAAATGGGTGGTGAAAGCGGATTTAACATGCCTACACACACACATATATATACATATATGTAAATGAATGTGCCCCGCTTTGCATGTCCGCGCGTCTTTGTTTAGCTCCCAGGAGGGCGCGGCTTCTGAGGAGGATGCGCACCGCCAGGTCTGCGCACTTGGGGTCCCGTTGGCACTGCCGCGTGGGCATCGGACGCCAGGAGCTTTCCCTCCTGACGCCGGCCGCCCTCTGCCGGGCTCCAAGCAATATGGCCATGGGGCGAGACACCCCGTAGCCCCAGTGAACATCCCAATCCCCACCAAAATAGGTTCTGAAATGGGTGGCCCAAAACGGGTTCCCAGTTTTGACCACCACGGCGATATCAAGCAATCCGCCGGCTGCCTGCGCGCCTGCTTGCCTCGTTCTAGGCAAGGCGGCCTTCCACCAGAACGCCAGTCGCCGCCTCCGCGCGACGTGCGTTTGGTCGGCTTGGACCCGCGCCACCTGGGAGCTGCGACAAGAGCGTGCAGCGAGCCGAGCCGACACATCGGATGCACGACTTCCGCTGGCTGTGGGTCAGCACCAATGGTACCCTTGGTAGGTGCACCACCCATTTAAGTCTATAGTGGGGATTGGGATGTTCACTGGGGGTACGAGCCAAGCGAGCCGACAGGTCGAATGCACGAATCAGGGCTGGAAATCGGTAGGTTTCCTGGGTGCCTTCAGTTCCTTCCGTTTGGTTAAGAGTATTTTGTTTATTTCCCCCGGTTGGTTTCAAAGAGAATCGGTTTCACTACTGGAAATCTTTTTTCCTGGGGACGTACCGCAAATGGAGGGTTCTTTTCAAAGCAACGCGCGCTTACTAAAGTTTAGAAGGGAGGCATCCCCACGGTACCATTGGTGCACCGACCCCAAAACGGTACCATTGGTTTTGAGCCACAGCCATATTTCGATGTTGAACATTGCAGTGCACTCCAGTGGAACCGCGAGCTTACCAAACCTTCTGAGGTGGCAGTTGCCCTGCACAGCCGTTTCGAGGAGGACTGAAACTAGTAGTTTCAGTGTCTAGGGGTTGATTCCTTGTCCATTCTTTTCAGCCATCGTTCTTTTCAAAAGCCAGTCATTTCCCAGGGTTTTTGGCGGTTTTCTGGCAAAGTTCGGATCCCTGGAAAGAATGGAAATGGAAGGTACCCCTAGAAAGTGCAACGATTACCGCAAGTTTTCTCAGACAGGAGCATGACCTCATGGACCAGCGGATCCTATTTTGCAGGGCCCGGTGCCCAGCCACAACACTGTGTCACAGTCAAAACCCGGGTGGATGGTTAGGTTAGTAAGGGGCTCTGAGAACAGTTGCGGATCTCCGCTTTCTGAATTCTTGAAGCATGGTTCTGGGATTACGAGCATGTGAATGCCGGGTTTTGAGCGAGTGACTCAAGTATACTCAAGTGATCTTGCAGCCTTCCGCCGCATTTTTTGTCGGGCTGAGGACCTGGTGGTGAAGGCACGGAGGTGTTTCTTTTTCTCCGTTTGGTCTTTGGGGGCATCTGCCAGGAGAAGCTTCGTGCTCAGCGGCTGCTGCTGCTGCGCTGCCGGGGCCTGAAGGCTGAAGTGCGCGCCTGTCAACTGCAAGGTGTCGGCCTCGGGCCTCTCTGTCCTGCCCAAACAGAGGGATCCCCTCTTAGAGAAGAAGCTAAGCAAACGGACCCGATCCTGAAGGTGTCTTGGCCTCTTTCTTGACATGGCTCCTGCCCAAACCAAGAGGGATCAGCCTTTCACAGAAGAAACTGGCCCCGGACCTGGCAGATGCCGTGCTCTCAGGGATTTTCGACGTGCTCGTGAAATGGACCGCTGGAGCTCGGGTGCACCCGTCTGAACGCAAGAGAATCCAGAGGGCTGAGTTGTTGACAGCTTTTCTTGCTAGTTCTCAGGGAATGAGAATTGGAATGACTCCTAGCCATCCATGGAACCCCTGGGGTTCCTTCCCAAAGCCTGTGTCATTCCCTACTGACCAGCAGCTTTCGGCATCGGAACTGCCAGAACAAAGCACGTGGCGAACGACGAGATTTAGAGCCTTGCTTGGCATGTGCCGTGTGCGTATGTGACCAAACCGGCCAGCGATTTGCCATATGTATGGATCGTGTATCTTGTTTTCTCTGAGCATTTTGGGTGGTATGTGAGGGCTGCCATGGTCAGGAATGTCAATCAGCGTTGGACGAAATGAAACACAATATGGCTCGCAACCCAGATTGCACTTTTTCTTTACTGCATGCCTGCAACCCGCAAACTTGATGGAGTGGGGGGGGCAGGGCGTGCCTTAAATCAGCTTTCGGACTGAGGACGAGACCGCCGCCCGTGCGGTCTCTACAATCGCCAGGATGTCTCAGCCTCAGACCGCGTTTTCACGCTTTCGATCGTCTTCTCGGAGCCGCAGGCGCCACGATCCCAAGCCCTGGACCATGAGCCTGATTGTGCACTTCTGGGCCCTGCTGCTTCAGATCTCCAAGGAACAGATGAACACGGAGGAACGGGGCCGAACTCAGCACATTGGGAAATAAGGTTTGCCGAATCCAAACGGAATAGTACTTGTGATGAGAAACGATTGGCTGACTTTGCACATGAGACGCATGTTGCAAAGCAATCAATGTGCTGAGTTCCTCCGTTTGAACATGATTGCAATGAGAGGCCGTGCAACGACGCTTGGAAGAAGCCATGGCAGAGGCTTCTTGGCGGTACCTGGCAGTGTTTGTTAGGGCCATTTGTGTGTATTTTTTCGACTATTTGGAGCTCGAACAATGCAGTGAGACCATCAAGAACGAATTGTCCACGTCATTGTTGGCCCGAATTGTTTCGGACTTTGGAACAAGGCAGATTAATCAAACATCGCCTGAGTTCCATGAATCCTATATCAAACACATCACGGTTTGCTCATCCACCTCAGTTTTGACAATGCCGCCATGCGACGGACGCCAGGTTGCAGTTCTCAGACGTTATGCGGCGGCAGATCCTGAGGCGGATTCGTTTGAAACCAGCCACGCTGTGCGGTTTTGGTTGTGCCGAAGGGTCCAACATGCTTGGGGTTGCATGTTGGGCGCCTCTCGTGTCACAAAACAAGCGCCCGTCGCAAGGCTCCGGAGGCTCCGCGCAAGACACGCGCATTGGATGCTGTGGTTGCAGTGGCACAGGTGGTGAGTGGATTTTCTCAAGTTTCACGTCGTGTTTGCCGTTTTTCTGCAGGGTAAGAACGTACAGGTACCCCCTAATTGGTGGTTTGGATTGCTGGTTTTGGGAATTTGAACCTGTGGTTCTTGTAGAATCCTAAGCACCAAACCACCGGGTTCCAAACCGCCAAGTGGAGACCCACCAAGCTCCAAACCATGTAGATGGAAACTGAACTTGGGAGAATTGGCTCCTGAAAGAAGCTGGCCTTCCAATCTTTGTTTGCCAGGTTGGATGCCGTCGCAAGTAGCTCAACGAAATTGGAAGAATTGGGATCCTTGCAAACGAGCCCCAAATGGCGGTTTGTGGAATTGCTGAGAGCAAATGGGAATTCCCTCCTTAACCACACCCACCAATTGGAAGGAAGCTGGGATTGGGCGATCAGAAATTTACCTGAAGCGGGGGCCGAAAACGCAGTTCTCCGAGGAAGACTTTGAGACTGCGGGGCGCGCTGCTCTGGGCATCTACGGGGAGGGTCTGCCCCGTCCTGCCCGGGCCCTGGCCTACTTGGGCATGTCCTTAAAAGGGAAACCAAAAGGATCCATGAAGGTCCAGTTCCTTCCTTGGATCTGTTTTGTTTTTGAGGGTACCCCATTTTTTTGGCGTTTTTTCCAAGGGAAACCAAAAGGACACCCACCATTTTGGTGGGTCCAACATTAAAAAAGACGAGCCACCCATGTCCTGGATGGAAATTTCGATCGGCGTGAGTCGATTTCGACTTTGGAGAAACCCCTCCAAGGAGCAGCGCTCCAAAACCTTCAGCGCGCGCTTCTCAGGCTAAAGCGGACCTGGCGCGGAATGCATGGGCTTCTTCCTCCTCCTCTGCGTACGTGTGGGGGCCCCGGCCACGCCTTTGCGGCGCCGGGGATGGAGCCACTGGGCTGACACCCACAGGTCTCCGGAGAACGCCAAAGTGCACCTGCCCAAGGGCAACGACTTTGCGCTAGCCTCGGCCGAAGCAGTCCCTAGGGTTCCTTGCCCCCGTTGCCCCCATTGAAAGAATGGCAAGGACCCAATTTGGATGACCATCCTTGGGAAAAGACATGGTGGCTCCCAGCCATCCCCTTAGCTGTTTAGCCTTTTTGTGTTTAGTGGTAGTTTCCATTTAACCCACCAAACCCGTAAACTTTTTGCGGGGGATCTGAAAACGGGCAGCCCAGATCATGGTTTTTTCTGAACCCAACCATCGTAATGGTGGTCTGCCTTGGCCTTGCGAATGGCTCCGCGCCCTCCAAAGGCCTTGGCTTTCCAGAACACTTCCATTTGGTTAAGAATAGGTTCTTATTTTTTAAAAGGGGGACTAAGGAAGGCCTTGGCTTTACTCCCCTGTTGGTTTTCAAGGGACTCGATTTCACCACTGGACATATTTTACATTTCTTTCTCCAGGGGACTTAAGCAAATGGAGGGGCAGCACGTATGCACGTTCGAAGCATGTGGCACATGCCGGATGGAGACATGCCGGAGAGAGATGCCGCGTGAAACGAACCAGCCCTGGCATCGACGACATGAGGCCAGCACGATGGCCTATTTGCGGCAGGCGAGGTCCAACCCAGGCGAGGCTCATCCGTCGGAGTCGAGTCTGGACCAAGCTGTGTTATTTTGGTTCTGATATGGGAATTGCTCTACAACTCCAATTACTTTCTGTACCCTCCCACCAGACCAGGGGTCCCTTTAAAAGGATAACGGTCTTGCCAGGAGCCCTTTGTCAGGTTTTTATGCTTTTTGGTGGGAGGGTACTGGTTGCACATCCGGACGCCTGGCATTTTCCATGAGAGTTGCAGGGTCCGCAGAATCCGCGCGCCCGCCACCAAGCATCGTGCCCGAAGCTTGGAGAGCATGATCAACGAAATGGGCCATGTGTCAGGCATGTGAGCCACTTGCTCAAGAACCATGGTAGATGAAGGGAAGTGAGGGACAATCCCAACCAGAAATAGCTGCGGATATCCGCCTTCTTGCTTCTTTGCATGGTTCTGGGTTCACCATTTTAATACCAGGGTTTTGATTGTGACTCATGTGATCCTGACAGCTCTTTGGCGCTTGGAAAGCTTCTTTGGATGCCAAGGTCATCTGACTATCAGACAGCACAGCAGAGGTCCAAGCCGCTCTGTTGTCCAAGCCCAGCAGGTTCTTGCCAGCTTGTTGTCGTTGTCCAAGCCTACTTGTGAAGCGTTGCGGTGCGTGCAGAATCGTGGCGTGAACTCAGTGCAATTGATGCATCGTGTTTGCTGGAATCTGTTGCAGCGGCGTGCTGCCAGCGTCAGGTCGATCGGCACGAACTCCGCGCTGTGGGCACAGTTGGACGAGCATCTGGGGCCGCAATTCTTGTTCACAGCGATATGGCTGTGGGTCAAAAACCAATGAGGATCCCATTTTGGGGTAGGTGCACCACCGATTTTAGAACCTATTTTAGTGGGGTTTGGGAAGTTCACTTTTGGTATGGTACGATTTGGCTTTTGACCCATTGCCATATGGTTTGCTTGCATGGTCGCAAACTCCAGCTCACGCAGTTCTCAACTATTCTTCCCTGAGGCTGGATGGCTACATGGCCGGCATGTCTGGCCGCTTAAAGTGAAGCCAGGCGTGGGATTTTCGAAAAGGGCCAAGCGCGGCGAAGCTATGCGAGCGCCCGAAGCGAAGCGGGCAAAGCCTCGGGAGGAGCCATGGAATGGCAGCCTGTCATCAGCTTTCCAAGCTGTGAGTCTGTAGATTTCTTCTTGGGCTTTGAGCGCTTCAGCCAAAGAGGGCCAAAATGACATGCCAAAAGGCAGGCAATCCACGCGCAAGGGCAAAAGAGCGATGGAGACCCGCAGTCAGCGATAATGCAGGGTAGCCGCGTGCAGTTTGGTGCTGAAAGTTTTTTGTGTCCGCAGCTCGAAAGATCTGGACACAGCTTCGCTGTGGGCAATCCAGCCTTGACACAAGTAATTAACATGTAGGTTCAACAGATATATGCGACACACCAAAACTCCGGGGCAGCGAGGGCGACCAAGTTGGCTTATGAGAGCTACGTTTTGTACGTTGGATGCCTTGAATGCTGATTTGTGCAGACCGGTCGGAGAGGTTGCAGGTGGATCCGTGCCCTGGTCAGTGGCATGTGCGTCAGGTGCGCCAAACGCCACTCCACACGGGATGGGGGGGGAACAGAGAGGGTCCAGCATGACTTCTGAGGGATTGTTTGCAAGGGCACCTTGCGTTGGGCGCGACAGGTCGGCATGTTCGCGTATCGTTACTCGTATCTCAGTTTGCAGGGCCAGGTTGCTGGGATTCAGGGGACCAGATGAGTTCTCCAATGATCTCAGGTGGCCATGGGTCAAAATCCAAGTCGCACCCGAAGTGAACATTTCAATCCCCGCTAAAATACGTACTAAAATGCGTGGTTAGCCCCTACCCCAAAATGGTATCCCAAAACGGTCAAAAACCCACAGCCATGTCTTCCATCAGCAAAAACAACCACCCCTCAACGACGAACGAAGGATCAAATCCTCCAGCCTGATCCATTCGAATCCCATTCAAGCATTTCAAAGATAGCTTTGGCAGCAGCACTGCATGTGTCTATCCATTGCCGTTTGGTGTGGGTTACATAAGGGTTCGGCATGCTCTCACTGGTTTTCAGGGAAGGTACAAGTTTCCAGCAGGTAGTTGTGTTTGAAAGCCCATTTTGGAGGCCTACCCATATGCGCCTCATGTCCTGCACGTGATGCTGTTGCCTTCAGGCTTGCCCGGCAATGTGCACATTGAGTGCCGCCTGCTTTGCGCGTTGCCAGGGAATCAAAGACTCCGGATGCGAAAATTAGGTTCAAAGGACAACACAAAATACGTTTTGTCGCAGCCACTTCAGACTGGTGCAGGGTAGTGTGACAAGGGGCGGTCTGCCCACCGCACGATGCTGATCTTTGATCTGATTTCTAATTCTGAGTGCCAGATTTGTGTCGCCGTAGTTGGCGCCCATGCTTGGTTGTTGATGGGAAACATTTTACATGTTTGCTCATTGTGGTTTAGCCAGCGGGAAATCCAAATCCACTTAACTGCTAACGTTAATTTGTTTTTGCTTCCCAGCGTCAACCATGGTTTGCCTTTTCCACTGTTTGTGTGATAAATAAGCCGCCCCCCTAGTCTAGAAGCCCTTTTCAAGGGCGGCAGTTCATGTCAGTGGAGAAGGCAACGCCTGAGCCAGGCCTGGCGGGTACAAAGAAAACGCCGGTCGGGTTCTCTGGTCGTCTCGCCAGGTATGGCGCCGATGTCCGTGAAGGTGCCCAGCCGGCCGCAGAGCGCCACCAGCCGGCCGCAAAGTGCGCGGTCTAGGACTGGGCGAGAAGCCCATGGGTGAAACGCCCCCAAAGTGAACATCAACCAATCCCCACTAAAATAGGTTCTAAAAATGGGTGGTGCACTTGCCCACCAAAATGGGATCCCATTGGTTTCGACCGCCATGTTGGTCCCAGAGCCGCTCGTCTCCGGGTGTCACTTTCCGTTTCGTTAGAGACATCCAATTCAACTAGAAATGAGCGTCGAGATAAGACCGAAATTCCAGATCTCAAGCTACGGCCCATCGCGCGTTCGGAGTGTCACTGCAACATGGCGCCCCATGTCGGGGCAAATGGCCACGAGGACAACTCGTCCCCAAAGCTCCGGCCTCGGTCGTAAAAGGTCACTGGTTTGGTCCATCAAAGGGTGCCTGGATCGCCATGGAACTTTAGCCCCAAAAACAGTGACTGAAAAAAGCAACAACTTGGCTATCCAGGTGATTTTTTTTCTGGTGGTGTCCTTACTGAATTCGCAACCCTTACAGGGGAGCCTTCAAAGAGAAGCGGCTCGGGGAAAGAGTGATTGCAGAATTTCAGGGGCCTGCAAAAAGGTGCGGTGAAACTTCCCTTTCGGAGAGAAGCAGCGAAGCGAGGCGCGCAGAGCCGGCGAAGCGATGGGGAAGCCCTTGGAGGCGATGGTGAAGTTGGGGGGGGGGCTGTCGGGTCGGGTTGGGGGGGGGAGGTGGAGGTGGGGAGGAGGGGGTTCACAGTTTCAGCAGTTTCAGACCCCACATCCCCCAATCCATTTGATTCGGCAGGCGCTAAGATCGCTTGGCAGACAAACAGCCGCTGCTAGTTCATGAGGGTTCAGAGGAGTGATACACAGAAATGATTTGCAGCAGGGAACCGCCCTGCGTGGGTGGGCACAGATCCCCACCTAAAGTTGATGTCCTAGGGCTGCAACCACTTCAAAGTCATACCTTCAACAGCTCTGCGGTGTTCGGTGCTGCGTTTTGCGAGCTGAAAGCCACGGAGTGCCTCATGCTTGAAACCATGGAAAATGATAGGGGACTCTCAAAACAAAAAACTGCGATACCTTTGTGTTACAGATCACACGCTCGAAAACGATAGGGGACTCTCAAAATTCGAACGTACTTCCTGTGAACAGCAACAAAAAATGACGGACCTTTGTATGTCTCAGGGAGTTTCTTCAGGTACCAGCATGCTCAGCTACAAGGGCCTCATGAGCCGGCAGCAGCACCACAACAGGCCTGCGGCAAAGCGCCGCCCGCCGCTTGCCCGGGGTTGTGGGTGGGTCCTGGGGTTTCTGGATTCGCGTGGGGTACGTCATTGGGCTATCCGGAAAAACCGGCATATGCCCGAAAGGGCTCCGAAGGTTGGCGAAAAACAAAAAACAAGGGGGTGCTTGGCAAGCTCGACTGGATGCCCAATCCGCAACCCCTCTATAATTTGAGGCAGGAATCTCTGTTGGGACTCCCCCGTGTACCACCCTTACTCCCGAAGTCTTCTGGAGAGCGAACAAGGAATCCCTTGTGCTGTCCGTTGGTACTCACAGTCAAAACCAGAAAGGACTCAAAACTAGAATCCTAGAAAAGGGCGACTGCCAGGGCAGTTGGGGTGCTGAAGGGGGGGGGGTGCTCTTTTAAGAGTCAATTGCCATGCGGTCATGCCAAGCAGCATTGAGCCTGGATAGTTGGGGCATCCACAGAGATTGTGGCTGGAACCAACCCCTCCACCTAAGACTGCCTACAGATCAACCCTTGCCCCACTCTTGCTCCTGGTGTCAAGAGTTGCCCAGACGCTGAGTGGCTGTGCGCACGCCATGATTCTCGTGACAGTTGACACAATTTGAGCAGCGACTTTTGGACTTGTTTCAGCCAAACCTTCCAGACTCAAGAGAGTGCGAAAATGTTCTCCTCCTCAAACATCTATCACGGTCGGTTTCACTTGCCCCTTTGGGCGCGAGATGGACCTGTAGATCACATGCGTTCCGCTTTGGGAAACCTGTTTGATTTATTTTTGTGTCAACGGATTCGACCAGGGACACCGTTCGTGCGCAAGAAGAAGCCTGCTTTGCGGTAAGAATCTAAGGTCGGAGGAGAAAAAGTGAAGCCCTTGCTGGGCCTGGAAGAGGTGACAAAGTTGTTGTTTTGGATGACCAAACCCTAAAGCCAAAGCCATCCTAAGCCCAAGACCACCCCTCCTTTGGTGCATTGTGCCAAGGGATGTTAGGACTGAATCACTTTTTGCAACAACTAATGAGAGTTCCGACTTAAACCACCAAAAGTTAGTCACTTTTAGCAGGGCAGCAGATTTCGCAACCGAGCCTCAACCTCTAAGATCTCTCACCAGTCGCAGAACTTGTCGCTGCAGTCCATGGGGTGCAAGAAGGACGTTGAGACCCACCCGACTTGCACCAACTTTGCATCAACCTGCCCTCAATCACTTCTCAGAGGATCCTAAGCCCACCCCATCCAGAAAAAATTGACCCTAAACCTACCCGAATCCCCTCACAATTCACGGAAGTTGTTTTGAATGCATACTGCTGCGAGTAACATGTTTTAAAGCGATGTAATCATGGTTTTTGGTTTGAATCATGAATCCAAGCCTACTACAGGCAGACAGTTTTAAAGTGCCTTAAACATGCTTTTCTTTGAGCCTTGCTGGATTTAGGATTCAACAAATCTTGAATCCAGAAATGTGTCAAAGCGCTTCAAAGCCTGTTCGGGCTCAAAGCCGAGTCTGGATTGAATATTCAAAAAGTAGAGATTCGACAAAGCCGAGAAGGGGGTTTGGCGCTTTGGGGGTGGGGTGGTTGCAATATAAACTATATAAGATATACCCTGGAATTTGTTTTTTGAATGATTGAATGTGATTTGGGAAAAGGCCGTTTCCGGGACTGAACGGACGTTTTTGAGATTGACTGCTTAGCAAGTGTGTTTCAGATTATGAAGAAGGACAATTTTGGAATGTGCTTTGGAATGGGGGGTAAATAAATCAATAAATGAATGAGCAAATTTATAAGTAACTAAACAATTCAACAGTTTATCAAACAAATACATGAGTAAGTAAATTAGATAGATCAAACAAGTAAATAAATCAATCAATAGATAGAAAAACAAAACAATTACGTAACTGAACAATTAAGTAAGCTATATCATATACATATATATATATGTATATATATGCTCACCCCCCCCCCCCAGGGCCTACCTTTCCACTTCAAAATGTACAAAACCCTCTTATTTTTAAGGACAGGGGGTGTGAGCATATATACGCAAGAAGTGTGCTGTTGCTGCATATTTTTTTGTGGGTGACAAGTCATGTTGAGTAACAACAGCAAAGAGTTTATAAACTTTCAAGACAGTTTATAAACCATGTCAAGGGTTTGACGGTTTCCTTGCAACAAGGGCAGGGGGGGGTACTGAGAAGTCTCTACAAAGTTGGCTGAGTCACACCTCACTGCTAAGACTTCCAACCAACCACCCCCCCCCCCCTCCCAAGATTTCCAACCACCCCCCCCCCCTCCTTCAACGATACCATGAACACTGCGTAGGGTGTTGTTGCCTTGATGCGGGAAACTCGTCAAACACTCAATAAGGTTTATAAACTTTTCTGAAAGTTTATAAACCTTCTGTAGGCTTATTGCGTAGCAAGTGGAAACTATTGTTTGGGAAGAAAAGGACACTCATTTGAGGCCTTGTTTGATGTGGTTTGGGCATGTGGTCCTAAAAGGTTGATGATTGTGTGTGTGTCATCACTGCTGCACTGTTATATCAAAGGCTGTCCTGTAAGCATCTGATTTATCAGTAGAGCACTCATTACCTCAATGGCTTGGTTTCTCAATGGCATCAAAGCTGGCCACAGGCTCAAAAAAATGCAAAAACTGCAAAACTCCAGACCAATCAAGCCCTGACCTCTGACTTGCATCTGGGTTTTGCATTTTTTGTATTTTTTTGAGCCTGTGCAGGTTTTGGAGCTTCCAGGTTTGGATTTTTTGCATTTTTTTGAGCCTGTGCAGGTTTTAAGCACCCAAGGCTCCAAAACCTGCACAGGCTCAAAAAAATGCAAAAAAACCAAACCAGGAAGCCTCAAAACCTGCACAGGCTCGAAAAAAATGCAAAAAATGCAAAAATCCAGACCAATCAAGCCCTGACCTCTGACTTGCATCTGGGTTTTGCATTTTTTGTATTTTTTTGAGCCTGTGCAGGTTTTGGAGCTTCCAGGTTTGGACTTTTTGCATTTTTTGAGCCTGTGCAGGTTTTAAGCACCCAAGGCTCCAAAACCTGCACAGGCTCAAACAAATGCAAAAAATGCAAAAATCCAGACCAATCAAGCCCTGACCTCTAACATTGCATCTGGGTTTTGCATGTTTTGCATTTTTTGAGCCTGTGCAGGTTTTGGAGCTTCCAGGTTTGTTTTTTTTGCATTTTTTGAGCCTGTGCAGGTTTTGACGCTGAAACCATCAAAAACGTTATTTTTTGCAGTTTCCTTAAAAAACACTGCACATAACAGTGATTTCACTACTGACAAAGTTGCCTCTGAAAACGCTTTCCGTTTTCGTGTTTGTTGCTTTCTCGAATCCTGTTTTGCATCAAGTACAGAAAGCACATCTGAGACAATATCAAAAATTGCACAAAAACACCGTAAATTACAGTGCTGTCTGCAAGGCATCTGCAAACCAAGTGGACACTGAACATCTGCAAATAAATCTCTGTCATGCAAAAAGTAGAAAGGTAGGCCCTGGGGGGGGGGGGGACCATATATATATATATATATATATATATCATATATGTGTTATGCATTCATCCTGCTATTTCTACCTTGCACGATGGGAGGCCTGCAAGCGCCGGGCGCCGCATTCTGCCCGCCGAGCTTGGCTTGGCAGGGCGCCGCGCAGGGGCCCCGAGGGGAAAGACGCGGGCCTGGATTTCTCGCGCCAAGCGCTGGGCGAGGCCGGTTTGACACGCCAGAATCTGGGGGTGTTTTTTTGTGTGAAAGTACCCCACTTTTTTCAGTTTTAGGTTTGAAAGGGAAGGGTTCCGGGCGTGAATGTGGGTATGATTTTTAATAAGGGACCCTTTGGTGGACATCATTTAGGTGGGGATTCATGTGCACCAATCACTTTTGAGGTTGTTCCCCGTAAACATTCATGGCCATGTGGGTCTGTTTTTTAATAAGGGACCCTTTGGTGGACATCATTTAGGTGGGGATTCATGTGCACCAATCACTTTTGAGGTGGTTGGGTACCCATTTGGCGGGTTGTTTCTGGGAAAAACCGAAAGAGCAAAGCCATGTTTTCGGAGGCCCCCTAAGAAACAAACACCCATATGGGTGTTTTTTCTCCTAAGAATCGTTTTTGATATGTCAAGAGCATCCGTTTGATTTTTGACTTGATTTTAAAACGAATCCTCTGAGTGTCGTGAATGGCATGGAGGGAAGTCTGGTCGTTTCCCCCCCACCCACATCCCTGCAAAAGGCAGGAGAAGAACTCTTTGATATGAGTACAAAAAAGACGCCAGGAGAATATGGGTGGATTTTACCCTGCTAGTATTGTGTATTAGCACTTAAGTGCTGGTGAGGCGAGCACTGTTGCAACGGCTACGCGGCTGCGCAGTTTGGATTGCACGAGCTATCTTTACGCAAGCGCGGCAAGATGCATCACGTGTGCTGTGGAATTCTAAGGACTGCTATTTCAAGTTCTGCTAGACTCACTACAGGACTACGTTTCCGCCATTTGCCGCATATGCTAAGGGAAAAAGCTACACCCTGTGGTGGTGGTAAAAATGCCGGTAAATATATGTTGGTGCTCGCGGTTCGGGTGGGAGCCCATGTTCTTCCGTAGACCCGAACATCTCTCAGCTGCTCATGGTCTGAGAAGGGCGCATTTTTTTCACCAATGCGCTGCTGTTTTACAACAGCTGGCATTTACTAATTCGTGATGTTTCTTCTCTGATCATTCCTTGAGCGATGTTGTCTCTACATTCATCACTTTGCGCTTACGCCAATCCAATTTGCCTCAATACCTCCAAGGGTACAGGGCGACCGCAAAAACGCGAAAAACACTTCAATTCCTGAAATAGCTCACGGCTTCTACAAATATGGCGGAATAAATAGGAAGCGGCCCAGCATGGAACCCTGTAAGTGGACAAGCAGGCTAAAACCTGCCGTCTGGCTCTGACGTTTTGAGCCATACCTCTATGCCCTCTCACAGCAAATGACATCCTCCGATGGAAACATCTAACGCACAGCGACCGGCAGATGTCTGAGGCTAGCAGGAGCAGGCCCCACGGTTCAAGTTGGTCTAGCTGAGCTCCCGGGGTGCGTCCGTTTTTAGGAGTCGGACCTTCTAAAATGGGTGGCATTCCTCTTGATGTTGCTTTAACATCATCCCAAAGAAGGTCTCCGTGACCCACAAGTGGGGTGGTTACCCAAAATACAGGGGTCACGGCCCCATTTTCTAAACTTCATTGAGACTAACCCCGCATTAAAACGGAGATTCCCTTGTATCACAGAAGTGGTTGGATAAACCGGCTCAGCACCACCACCCCAAAATCGGGCCTTCTAGAATGGGTGGGTTATCCTCTTGATGTCTCTTTAAAACAATTCAAAAAGAGCGAGCCTCCGGAAAACAAAAAAGAGAAAGGACAGACCACCCCTGAACAATGGACAAACCCCTGGAGCACCAGCCCCCAGAAATTGGACGCCTCCCAGAAATTGGCCGCGGCGCCGAGGTGTTGACGCTGCCGAGCCACGTGGACCAATGCGACCAGGGCGAGAGCTGCTGCTGGCGCTGGCTGGCGCATGCAGCCCGGGGGCCCTGGGACTTTCCATGACCCTCCCCCCGTGTTTTTTTTTTGGGGGGGAAATACCCCCTGCCCCCAAAGAAAGCCACGCAAATAGAAGAGGAAGAACATTTTACTTGGGGGTGGCCATTTTCTTTAGGAATAAGAGAGACATGAACTGTTTGTTTCCCTCTTGAATTCCAACTTCAAGCCACAAACATCGGGATGCCCTCAAGAATAAAAACCGCTCCAAGGGGTCTGGGCTGAACATTTGATCAAGTTGTCGGAGAGCGCGTTCCCGAAGTGGGCAGTTTTTAGGCTGTCCGAACCATCTCCTTTGAGAATTTGGAACCTCCAAGCGTTTCTTGCTTTCTCGGAAATGGACACCGCCGAAATGGAAGCTGGTCCTCCACTTTTGAGTCGAGTTGACATCCAGCCCAACTCCCCCCAACCCCAACTCCCCCTCCCCCCAACTCCCCCCAACTCCTCCCCTGGCCGAACTGGTTCTTCTCAGGTGCTCAAGGAGGCAGCGTGGCTCAAAGAGGACCTCGACTCCCTGCGAAAGGCACCGGGGCCGTTTGGGCAACGCGTTGCTCGCTTCGCTTTCCATGCGGTGAGCTAGCGGGGTCCGGGTCCAAAAATGGGCGGCGCCCCACTAACGAGCCGCAAGCCAGGAACATAGGTGTCCTTTTTAGGTGAGTTTCGCTAAGAGTAGATGTCACTGGTTCAGATAGGGTTTATGCCCCATTTACCAGGGAAACCCAGTTTTTTTTCCAAAAGGCCGCCTATGGCCAGGACGTTTCTTAAAGGTTTGGCAATTTGTCAAACGCCTTTTCGAGGGTGACATTTGTGTGTTTCATAGGTTTCCGGTGACTTTCCTTGGTACTGTTCCAAAGACGACGTCACGAATCTCAGGAGCATGCCGAGCAGCAAGAACACCACACCAAGGCTTCGCACTTAAGGACGTGGATGCGGGTGAAAGTGGATTCCTTTTGGAGGGACGAACAAGTGGCCCAGGGCGACGGGGGACTTTCAAGGTTGGGGTTTACACCCGGAAGTTTTGGCGACAGCATACGACTCATTCGGAAGCATTGGGCTGCAAGAGTCCCAGTGCGGCCTTGCTTCGGCTCGAGGTGGAGAATTGCACGGAGGACTTAGCAGAGTTGCGGGGCGCCCACAAGATCCTTCAGCTGCAACCTCAGAGATCGATAGAACCCCGGCCGTGGTCTGTCTTGCGCCCTTTTGTTTCGGCGTCATGATGGCTGCAACTCAGTTTTCTTTGTTCCAAACGAGGCGAGCCCTTGTCCTCAAAACCGATTCGGGTAGAAGGTTAAGGGGTCCCAGCCAGGAATTGGTTCGGAGATCCGCCTTTTGGATTTCCTTATTGGTATTTGGGTCGACCATGTAATAGGATTGCGACCCAGGTGACCCAGTTTTGGATACAAAGCTCCCCCGCGAACTTGAGGCAGGAGCTTCGCACCTCCCGCGAGCAGTGCGACCTGGTCAGGCCGTGTCTTTTTTGTTTGTTTGTTTGTTTGTTTTGGGTGTGTGCATGTCGCGAGGCGCAAGTTCGGGTCGAAGTTGGGTGAGGGTTGGTCTTGGAGGGGGGGGGGTGGAGTGAAAGTTGGGTGAGAGCTGGTCTTGGGTGCAAAACCTCGTCACCCCGAGGTTGACCCAAACAAATCAGCCGGCGGGTGAAAGGGCCCCCCAGACCCAAGCGACCCCATGAGCCCACCGTGTTTCTTTTTGACTTGGGCGTGTCCTTGTGTTGAACCCATCCCCCCCAAACAAACAAATCGCCGGCCACCTGGTGTCCCCTGAAAACCAAAAAGCCGAGCCCTGAGCAGTCGACGTTTTCCGGTGAAACCTATCGCAGGCAGGAGCTCCTTATAGTCAAGACCTCCCAAGCCCAGAAGCTCAGCAAGGAGGAGGACTGAGAGCCGCGGCGTTCTTCGTTTCGAAGAAGCCCAAAGCCACGTCCCGTACACGTCCTCAAGCTATTTTTTTCAGCACCACCTGGACAAAATGATGTTTTGTCCCCCGAACATTTGTGCACCAGATCGTTTTTTTTTAAAGCACCGGAACGGCTTTTAGAACACCAAGGCTATTTCGCAACACACATGTTTTACATTTTACGCAAAATGTACGACATGTGAACGGTTCGCGAACGGTTTGCGAACGGGTTTTGAGCTGCTTTTGAACGCTCTATGAACGGCATTTCCAACACCGAATCCTAGGCACGGCGGATTATGCAAACATAACGCAATGGATGGATTCCCAGCAAGCGACATCAGCAACATAAGGTTCGGTCTGCTCCGCAAGCCCGAACGGTTTTTGTAGAACCAGTGTTGAAATTTCAACACCAAGAAGGTAAAACGATAATTGTCCTGAAAAACGATCAAATTCAACAGTTTTTGGGGCAGCAGGATATTCTTATGATATATGGTTTTCTTATGTACAACTATCCGTAGCTTGAGGCCCCCAATGTCTCTTTTTCTTGCACATGCCAGGACTTAGTGCGGGAGGTTGCACGGCTGGAGGGCGAGAAATCGCAGGCCGGACACTCCAGAGCTTCGCTCGCGGTTGCGACGCGCCAAACGCGCACCGCGACAGGCCGTGGCCAGGATGGAAGACGCCAGGTGGGCTGAAGCGCAGACATTTCTGCTGCACAAATCACAGGCAAAAATAGGGTAACCCCGAAATGGCAAGCGCCCTGGTAAATGGAAAGGAAGCAAGGGCTTGAGCCTGGAAAATCCATGTCTTGGTGGCCTGATTTTGACTCATAATAAAACCAGATATTGGATGGTGGTTTGAAACACACGGCTGCTCAGTTTGTTTCATGAAACGGATGGCCATTGGTCAAAACTTGAGTCAAAATGCGGGTGGGGGGGGCACGCCAGTTTTTGAGAGTGGTGACTTTTGGAATCCTTTCCAAGAAGCACAACCAGAGGCAGAAGCACATGCAGATGGAGCGCGAGACCTTCCGGATGCACTCAGAAATCGAGGCACGGTTCCGTGCCACGAAAACGGGGAGGGGGGGGGGGGGGAAGCGTTTTGGAAAGCAAGACACAATGTTTGAATGGAAAGGAACATATCTTAAAAGTATGAACACTTCCCATTTTAGAAGGCATTTCGGAACAAAAGAGAGAAGAAAAACACACAAAAAAACAACACTGGGTGGAAAAACTTTGGATCTAATTTTCTTCCCCGGGCAAAGGAAATTTGCGTCTCCCAAATTTGGCGCGCCCCTTCTTTCGGATGGAAACCACACGAAAAATGGTCACTGCATTCCTGACTTGGGTGCGGAATGCTCAAGAGCCGGGGCAAGCGGCAAGCCGCGGGTGGTTTTTTGTTCAAACCAATGGCGCCATTTAAAATTATTTCTACCTACCAGCTGTCGCTCGAAAATGCATGTTCCGTTTTGGAACACGGACTTCCCATCCAAAAACCACCGGCGAATGGTCCGGGATTTGTTTCGGCACTTTCTCCCCAAACAGTTTGCTGTTGGGCTGCGTTGTGTTCTTACAATCTGTTTTTGTTGGTCTACGCTGAAAAAAAAGGAAAGAGTCAATGTTCTCTTTTGGCATGTCTATTTTTCTTTGCGCCTCGGCCAATGGCCGACTTGCCGGGTTTTGGGGGGCGCGTTTTGTCGGGTCTTTTTCCTGGCGCGGCCCCCCATTGCTTCCGCCCTCAGGAAGCCGCCTCTCGAGAAATTTCCGACAGGACCTGAAGCGGCAGATCCTCTTCCGAGAGGACGACCGGGTGCGCGCGGAAGGCGCGGCTTCTTGGGGGGTTTTGGGGGGGGGGGGGGGGCCATCGAAGCGAAGGCAGCGGAGAAAGCCCGTGGAGTTGTTGTGTCATTTGTTTTTGTCTTCTTTCTGTTTCCGGTAGTTATTGTGGTTGTTAGTATGTGTTATGATGAATTATTAATAATTAGATTATGAGGTGTTCTTCTTTGCGATTAGTATTATGATTATGATTATGATTATTAGCATTACTATTATTACTATTTTTTCCTTTTAGTACTATTGATATTCATATCTGGGATTCGGGTCGTTTGACCGCCCTGAATCGCTACCAGGGCCATTTCTAGACTCCATTTCCGAGTCAGACTGTGGTCCAACCAGGGTGACCGCTGCCAGCGGCGTGTGGCGGCAACAGCAAGAGCGAGAGTAATTACCGAGCTGATCGCAGATGTCCGCAGATCTTGCTGTGAAAGCCCAAATCTCGAGGACCTTGTTATTGGTGCTGGAGAAAGGAAGACCACCAAAACTCTCCCTTTTTTCGGCCTACACCAAGCCAGCCAAACCCACCCGAAGCCAACCCGAAATCCACCCGACTGCCTACATATACTAGCCCGTTGCCGGGCCTAACACCAAAAATGAAAGGCAACTTCAAAGATGTCCTTCGCGCTTGCGGGGACAAGCCGTCGAGCTTCAGGCCTGCTGAAGGCTGTGAAGAAGGAGAGGGACGAGCTCAAAGAGGTCTGAGCCCCCGGGATTAGTTCACACACGCCATCTCCATGCCCATAAGTGTCCTTTTTAGGTCAGTTTGGTTAAGAATAGAAGGCGCTGGTTCAGATGGGGTTGATTCCATTTATCAGGGCCATCTATTTTTCCAGAAAGGACACCTATGTCCATGCCTTTGCGTGTGTGAGTTTTCTGAGGGCGCCCTGAAAGAGGCTGGGCTTCAAAGGGGAGCCAAAAAGCTTCAGACCCGTCATTTTGGGAGTCCCCCGATTTTTCCCCACACTGAAATGTAGATGTTACAAGAAGCATAGTTTGTTGTAACAGTAATGATCATCATGATTCATGATATACAATTTGATCCATTTGGAGATCGTCGGCTGGATGTACCTGGCTTGGGGGTCCTTTAGTGCCATATTCTTGCTTGGACTTGAAATGGACAGATGCGATGCGCGCTGGATCTGACATTCTGCATTGGCGCAAGTGTCCGGTCTCACAATGGAAAGCCCCAAATAGATAGCCTCAAAACGACACACCCGCATGCCATAGTTTTTCCGGTTGTCACTATTGGACCACTTCCTCCCAATGTGGATTTCGCAATACTTCTTGGTGTAAGTTGCACCACCACATTTGAGACATGCCATATTTGTGATTCCCCGAGCAACTTGGAAGGACTATGTTCACATTGCCATATTCGGAATGATCGCGGTAGGCTCGTGCTTGGCGGGTTTCCAATGCTCTTGCTTGCTTGTGGATCTCGACCTTTCTGGTTTTCTTACATTTGGTACCCTTGCGTGTCTTTTCGGGTGGTATCCCTTTTTTCGGCCTGTCGTGTCTAGTGGTACTCGTATTTGGACGTGGTTTTTGGTGGTGGTTCCCCTTTGCGGGTGCGTCTTTTTCAAGGGAAACCACCCGCAACCTTGCCGCGCCGTTTTGGGAGGCGGCGGAGGCGACGAAAAAGCGGAAGGCCAAAGCTAAGCCCATGGGCAGGCGCGAGCTGTTTTGAGCGGCCGCATAGCCACCGGTCGCCGCTCGCCGTGGTTTCTGTTTAAACAAAGCAAAGGGAAACCCCCCAAAAAAAGAGCGTCAGAAAGCGATGGGCAAGTCATATGCTGTCCAACCAACGAATCTGCGCATCAACCAAGCAGCCATTTGTGTGTTAGAACATGCTTGTGTGCGTTTGGCAGTCTCGCCAGCGGCGACACCGATGTGTCTCCGGTGTAGCTGCGACTGCTCAACATCATGGGAGAAACTTCCTAATTCTCTTCAGGGAACCTGCTTTCCAAAAACCAGCAAGCGCCCGGATCAAGCCCTAGAATTATGGCAAACACTTGCACTGGTTTCGGCAGAAGCCCAGCATGTGTTTTTTTTGAAGGAGAACAGCCAGATCCCGGCCAGACAACAACAACAAAAAAGCGAAATACATCCGCACCCCTGGCAACATGCTCAACATATGCTCAACATATGCAAAAACCAACATGTTGATATCCTCCAAGATATGCTCCAAACGCGACCGTGCCGTGCCGTGCTTCGTGCTTCGCGTCTCAGGGCTCCCCGGCGCTGAGCGGCCCTTGTCTCGCAGCTGGTAGGTCGATGGCGCCAGCTGGGCAGCGGAAGGGATGAACGCCACGCCACTCACCAAAAACACCACCACCCAAAAATGGTTTGACTTCCTTAAGCAACGGGCAAAGTTTCATGGGTAAGAACGGAACCGGATCTGTTTTGTTGGGTTTCCGGAGGTTTTCGAAACCGAATCCCTGGAAAGAATGGAAATGCAAGGCACTTGAAAAGTGGTTTGCCTTCCCCGAGCAACAGACAAACATTTCATGGGTAGGAAAGAGTGGCAAAAGCTGAGTGGCTTTTCTTTGTTTTTTTGGGCTCCGGGGATGTAAGAGTCTTGCAATGCCCGTCTGGTTTGTGAAACATGGCGCTTGGCAGTGTCCACATTCGCCAGATGCGTGCGCCAGTCAGAGAAAAGCTCTGACAAGTCTCGGAGAGAGGCCCGAATATTTCACCCGGAATCGACTCGCGCATCTAGGAAGCATAGGTGTCCTTTTTAAGTGAGCCTGGTTAAAAATAGATGGCACTGGTTTAGATGGGCTTGCTCCATTTACCAGGGCCGTCTATTTTTCCAAAAGGCCACCTATGCTAGGAAGCCGTTCAGATGAGCGCCAGTCAGAAGACATAGCTGTCGCCCACCAGCCTTAGGTCTTAACTTCGCCAGGCCGACGGGCGAACTTGCGCGGTCAAAACATGTTCCATGGTTCCCTAAACAACCCTGACTACCCTCAAAAACGGCTGGCGACTCGTAGATACCCTCAATGTCGGTGCGGGCCGTTAGCCCTGAGTGTGTCGAGAACTGGAAAGCCGTCCTGCGCTACAGAATTGGGCGGTGTATGATACGGGGGGAAAAATGCGCCCACTGGCCCCATGTTGGTCCCTGCATAGGCGGCAATCTCTGACCGGGCGGACTCCACAAATGGAGCACGCGCCATAGGACGTGAGACGTCGAAGCGAAAAGCTGGGGAGACGCTGCCAGGGCGCGTGTTTTCGCATGGGTGGGGCGGTTTCCAGATTTGAGCCCTGCACATTCTTTGTTCCTCCAGGAAGCTTCCAGGAACCTTCCAGGAACCTTCCAGGACAGCAAGTGAAACGACCACTGGGCACAGCAAGACCTAAAGCATCAAGTCACCAAAGCGAATTCCAGAGAGTGAACTTGCGTGTGTCTTTTTTAAAGGACCCCCTACTTGACACCCCTTGCCATGGCAGCCGAGCCAGAGCCTGCGCCGCCGGAACCGCCAGCTGAAACGCCGGAGGACTGGCTGGGGAGCCGCAATCATGTCCCTCTGCTCGGCCAGGGATTTGGTGTTGGCGCCCCTGAACCACCAACTTTGGTCCCATCAACTGTTTGGATTAGGGGACCCCCCCAACATGGTGGGTTTCCTTTTGGTTTCCCTTGAACCACAGGAGTGCCTTCCAGTTCCATTCTTTGCAGGGATCCTTCTTTCCAGAAACCGTCCAGAATCCCAGGTAAAACGGCTGGTTGTTGAAAAGAACGATGGTTTAAAAGAATGGGGAATCAAGCCCTCGAACATTGGTAACTCTTTGGATTGCTTGGAATTGAACATTTGAACCCCTGGTTCCTCTTGAGGATACTTGGGCTTTACCCCCTAACCACCCCCCAAGCCACCCCTCCCAAGCCGCCCACAGGAAACAAACCTTGTCCCTGAGGCGACGGAGGGTCCGGATGGCTTAACCATCCGGCAGCGCCACCCGGATCGCGTTCCAGTTGTCGCCCTCCCGGCGCCAAGGCGGGTGACGTCGATCAAACCTCAACACGGCCCAACGGGCCCTGGCCCTTGTCTCGGCCTGGCTTTTTGAAACACATTGTGCATGAGAGTAAGTCATGTATGTATGTATGTATGTAATGTATGTAATGTATGTGTGTGTATATGTAGGAATGTATGTATGTATGTATGTACGTATGTACGTACGTATGTCATACGTATGTACGCATGTACGCATGTACTTATGTACGTATGTACGTACGTACGTACGTACGTACGTATGTATGTATGTATGTATGTATGTCGTATGTACATGCGTACATACGTACGTATGTACGTATGTACGTATGTACGTACCTACGTACGTACGTATGTAGGTAGGTATGTGTGTAATGTATGTATGTAATGTATGTAATGTATGTAATGTATGTAATGTATGTAATGTATGTAATGTATGTAATGTATGTAATGTATGTAATGTATGTAATGTATGTAATGTTTGTATGTAATGTATGTAATGTATGCAATGTATGTAAAGTATGTAATGTATGTATGTATGTATGTAATGTAATGTACTGTAATGTACTGTATGTATGTATGTGTGTTTGTAATGTATGTATGTATGTATGTATGTATGTAATGTATGTATGTATGTATGTATGTATGTATGTATGTATGTATGTATGTATGTATGTAATGTATGTATGTATGTATGTATGTATGTATGTATGTATGTATGTATGTATGTATGTATGTATGTATGTATGTATGTATGTATGTATGTATGTATGTATGTATGTATGTATGTATGTATGTATGTATGTATGTATGTATGTATGTATGTATGTATGTATGTATGTATGTATGTATGTATGTATGTATGTATGTATGTATGTATGTATGTATGTATGTATGTATGTATGTATGTATGTATGTATGTATGTATGTATGTATGTATGTATGTATGTATGTATGTATGTATGTATGTATGTATGTATGTATGTATGTATGTATGTAATGTATGTATGTATGTATGTATGTATGTATGTATGTATGTATGTATGTATGTATGTATGTATGTATGTATGTATGTATGTATGTATGTATGTATGTATGTATGTATGTATGTATGTATGTATGTATGTATGTATGTATGTATGTATGTATGTATGTATGTATGTATGTATGTATGTATGTATGTATGTATGTATGTATGTATGTATGTATGTATGTATGTATGTATGTATGTATGTATGTATGTATGTATGTATGTATGTATGTATGTATGTATGTATGTATGTATGTATGTATGTATGTATGTATGTATGTATGTATGTATGTATGTATGTATGTATGTATGTATGTATGTATGTATGTATGTATGTATGTATGTATGTATGTATGTATGTATGTATGTATGTATGTATGTATGTATGTATGTATGTATGTATGTATGTATGTATGTATGTATGTATGTATGTATGTAATGTAATGTATGTATGTAATGTATGTATGTATGTATGTATGTATGTATGTATGTATGTATGTATGTATGTATGTATGTATGTATGTATGTATGTATGTATGTATGTATGTATGTATGTATGTATGTATGTATGTATGTATGTATGTATGTATGTATGTATGTATGTGTATGTATGTATGTATGTATGTATGTATGTATGTATGTATGTATGTATGTATGTGTATGTGTATGTATGTATGTATGTATGTATGTATGTATGTATGTATGTATGTATGTATGTATGTATGTATGTATGTATGTATGTATGTATGTATGTATGTATGTATGTATGTATGTATGTATGTATGTATGTATGTATGTATGTATGTATGTATGTATGTATGTATGTATGTATGTATGTATGTATGTATGTAATGTATGTATGTATGTATGTATGTATGTATGTATGTATGTATGTATGTATGTATGTGTATGTATGTATGTATGTAATGTATGTAAGTATGTATGTATGTATGTATGTATGTATGTATGTATGTATGTATGTATGTAATGTATGTGTATGTATGTATGTATGTATGTATGTATGTATGTATGTATGTATGTAATGTATGTATGTATGTAATGTATGTAATGTATATAATGTATGTATATAATGTATGTATGTATGTATGTATGTATGTATGTATGTATGTATGTATGTATGTATGTATGTATGTATGTATGTATGTATGTATGTATGTATGTTGTATGTATGTATGTATGTATGTATGTAATGTATGTATGTATGTATGTATGTATGTATGTATGTATGTATGTATGTATGTATGTATGTATGTATGTATGTATGTATGTATGTAATGTATGTATGTATGTATGTATGTATGTATGTATGTATGTATGTATGTATGTATGTATGTATGTATGTATGTATGTATGTATGTATGTATGTATGTATGTATGTATGTATGTATGTATGTATGTAATGTATGTATGTATGTATGTATGTATGTATGTATGTATGTATGTATGTATGTATGTATGTATGTATGTATGTATGTATGTATGTATGTATGTATGTATGTATGTATGTATGTATGTATGTATGTATGTATGTATGTATGTATGTATGTATGTATGTATGTATGTAATGTATGTATGTATGTATGTATGTATGTATGTATGTATGTATGTATGTATGTATGTATGTATGTATGTATGTATGTATGTATGTAT